GGGAAATTATTCGTGTAATTTATGGCTAGAGTGCCCCTCGACTGCAGCCAGGTCGCAGGCGCTGACGTTCTTCTATTTCAAAGTGCGCTTCTTGAAGTTGTTATGAGAATACGAAAAGCGTCCAGTGGACGTCTTTGGAACGATATACTGCAACGCTTTCTCAAAAAGACACCAAGATCATCTCGGTATAAACTGATAAATATCGACAAACTGTCTTCATCAAATATATTAAATATATAATTTGATATCTAACAAACATTACAATAAGATAAATTAAATACAAATAAAACGATCAGCTTTTTTTTCTTAACATTAATGGTTGCACAAAACGGTCAATGATAAGAAAAAATATATCATCTTGATGTGTACTAATTTATCATTTCCGGTGGTTAATTCGCGAATGCTTTCGCTGAAAGACAGAACATATTCCTTCCCATGCACGGAACGTCGCGTAATCCAGCAATCTCGCAAATGTGGCGAGCGTTCTATCGACTTAATTGCTTTACCCTCCTTAAATTCACAAGGCAGCGGGAACTTGGCTCGTGTACTTTGCCTGTCAGACTCTGCTTCTTCGTCGGGAGTAGCGGCATGAGGCGCACCGCGGACCGTACCTTTTCTTTTTGTCACGACCATCCAGTTTTTAGACGTATCGTAACGACGACATTAATATCGCGTGCAACAGCTCGTGCAGCTTTTAACGGAGCCCCGAATGCTTGCAGAAAGCAGCGAGCTGATTGCGGGCGTGCACTTTGAAATAGCAGAATGTAAATTAATGCGCCAAAAGGGTTGCGCTACTCTTTGGTATATTATGTTTACCGTATTTTACGGTGTTATTAAAACGAGATATTATTTGTTCTCTGTACGTATTGATACCATGGGTACAAATTTGTTAGTGAATATGTTTTAAATAAACATCTATTAGTCACAGCCAATTTATTCGAATAATATTGAGAGAGATTGTGGCTTTATGTTTATACGTCGTCAGTAAAACATATTTATTAATTTTTTACGACTCGAGCAACTAAATGCAGCGTATAAAGGATGTTCGAGTAAAAGTACACTCTGAATTAATAATGTTTTCCTCGATCCAAATCGCTTCACGATTCATCAGATGTATATACCTATGGGACACGTCATATTTCCGATGTTGCGTTGCTAATACATTGCTCAACATCATCGATAGCTCTGATATCACAAACATTAAGTATTCAAAGAAACATGATTTTATTTTCAGTACCACGAACAGTTAATCTATGGATTTACCGTCATTGTATTGCCGTTATTCTCATCACACGATGAATATTGCATATACATAAATCGAGATATGATATGTCTGAGTCAAAAGTTTTAATTTTTTCCATAATAGTATTACAAAGACTATAAAAATAAAAATGCAACTTTTTATAATAATTAATATAATATTTTTTTAAGGAGTACATTCTACTGTATGTGTATATAAAGAATATTTTTTAAATATATAATAGCAGCTTATAAAAATTTCGTTATATTTGTAGGTCTGAAATGTGTAATAAAGAACGAAATGTTAAATATAAAGGCACAAAATCAATATTTAAAAAGGTACGCATACAAAACGATATTATTTTTATCTAAACATTGTGGAGAAGCAGGATTGCTTATATAAATATACTATAACCAAGAGAGTTATTTTCTTAATAAAATACATGTTTTATATAAATCACGAATTAATCTTATTTGATTAATTAATTTCACAGAATTATTGAATCTTGTAATCAAACGTAATCTTAGGGTTCAAGAGCTTTGCGAGTAAGTCGAAACATTCGTGCGAAAAACTTCTGAATACAAACGCGAATCATGAAGCACACCGCGAAGTAACCGACCCTCAAGTTTGGGATCCTATTGACTTACGGTTCGTCTATCCGCCGAACAGAGAAGAGACAGAGCGCGCGCTGGTCTGTTTAATGAACAAGCTTGAGCGGTTTGATTTGCATTGCGCGCAGTCACGCTCCGCTCGCGGTGCGAATTTCAACGTAGCAGCCTCTGCTACTCGGTGGCCACCTGAGTAACGTGAGATACCTGCACGTTGGCACAGCTCATCCTGAGACGCGTAATGCGCCCGGGTAGAGAACGCTTTAAGGGGCATTCCTGTCGCGCTTGCATCGCGCCGTTGCGTTATCGCGATTCAGCGTCGAGCACTGCCATCGAATGACAGTTTCCTGTGTCAAAGCATACCCGGTCGCTGTTACACAACGTGATCAACCCCCGTGCGCAACCCGTCGCCGCCTCCCTCTCCTCCTCCTCCCCCAGCTGCTGCCTTCTTCCATCGAGAGTCGCGCAATTCGAGCGGCAAATGCAATATTGTGGCCTCGCCGCCGAGACACTTGAGACAAAATGGCATGCTTCCGCGCGATTTGCCCCTTTTTTCCCAGTAACTTTCAAAGGCTGCACTTCCCGAAAGCTCTTAGATCCTCTTTTCGCGCATCGTTTTACGTGTATTTAATTATGTATATAACTTAAGAGATTCTCCAAATTAAGCAATTAAATGGACACTTTTTAATACACCCGTTTAAAGTTTCATTAATTTTCGTCGAGTTGCGATGGACGTTTACATATTATTCCCGCGCGCATATGCAAAAGCTTGTAAACTTCAGTTTAGTAAAAACATAAATGTTTGTTACAAATTTTGGAAAAACACAGCATAACTCAGTTGGTACATATGTATATATTTTATTTTTATTTTCATAATATTCAATATATATATATATAATAATTTTTCGAGAATTGAAATTGTAATAAAGTTTTGGCCTTTCTCTCTCTCTCTCTCTCTCTCTCTATTGCTCGTATTTATAGAAATAAAATAAATAAATAAGTGTATGTATATGCATATATATGTTTATTTATCTATTTACTTTATTTTATATATAATACATAAACAATTTCTCTCTTGCCATGCAAAATTTTATTGTTTTATTTAGCTTGACGAAGCATCGATAGCATCACTTCAGTTTTATTAGTCGGAGCCCAGCATCGTGTTTCTTTTTCCTACTCTTTGTGTTTGGTACTTATCAAGTCACTTTTTCAATCGTACGAGTGCCTCTTCGCATTAGTCGATAGGACAAATGTGAAAACGGGATGCCGCGTTCGGTCATGATCAGTAAGTGGAAACGGACGAGCGCGTCCGGCCTATGAAATTGGAGTCGAACTTGCGAGCGGGCGAATGTTTATTTGAAATAGGATAGTCGGCCAACGATTGCATGCTCCTGATTTCGAAACCCTAGGGGACTCGATCATTGAACGAGCCCGGACGAGCGACTAACGAAAAAATTGCGTCCGCTGTTTGCGGTCCGACTGTGTATCATTCAGAGACAATTAACAATTGACTTTGTGCAATACGAGAAGAGTCGAAGTGGAGAAGAATGAAATTCTAGTAATGAAAACAATATCTGTTAAAATCAAACGTTATCCGAAATTGAAGTAATTTGTATAAAATTTCTTTCAATATCGAATAATTATCTTATAAAAGAATAATCTATTTTCTAAACTGTTATTGTTTCTGACTCTGTAAATATCAGATATAATTTCCACGACTTTTTTCAAAATTATATCTGTTAATATCAAAGAAACGATACAAACATATCAATTAAAGTATTTGCCTTTTGAATCTATTACTTTTTGCCATCCTTCAGAGATATTATGTAGATATTATATAACTATTATATTGTTTATGTATCATAGATGTCACGGCAAAAAAATACTTCGCAGAGCGATTTATCAAAATCATCATATTTAATTTTTTAAACCAATCTTGACACGCTCTTTTCGATATACTATACAATATCATTATCTCTGTAAGTTTCACAAATTATCCTAGTTACTTCAGTGGCGGTTTTACCGCAATGAAAATAGTGAAGGCAATGGCAAATACGCACTTTTTCAACATTTATCTTTAATTAAACTAAAATAAACACGGAGAAAAAAAATTGTTCATTTGACTATATTAATTTAATTTATCTTTATATATTTTTTGTTGGAAAATGTATATATTTAAATCAAATATAATGTCTGTTTGACTCTTAAATACATATATACTTCATAAAAAAAATATATATATATATAAACGATCTAAATTGATTTAATCAAATGAACAATTTTTTCTCAGTGTAGTTAAATATTTAACCGCGGATTGTTATATAACTTTCGAAACTAGGTTGATCAACCTTACTAATGAAAAAATTACATGCGAAAATTTAAATACACTGTTGTTATAGCACTATCTAAAATTGATCATGCGGACTTATTTATACACCTAATAATTCAAAAACTTTTCCATCAGGCCGAATGAATCGTCTGGTCGGTGAGGGATCGAATCGTTTATTATATTTTTTCTCCGCGATCTTGTAAAAATTACGAAACTCGTAATGTTTCGCGGTATTAAAAACGGCGCATGTTAAGAAGAAAAATGAGAACTGTGACGCGTCTATGCAGCAAAGCGCTATCCGATCTACAACCTCTTATCTTGCAACCTTACCCTTGCCTCTTACGGCTATTGCTCCACCTTTGAAATGTTATCCGCCGCTACGTACGACCTTCTCAGAATTTATATTAAACAAACGACTCCCATTATTGGTTTATTCGTGTGTTGTCAGGCAAAGTAGGATCAATTCAGTGAATCTCGCTCAAGAGCGCGAGTCTCTTTTCACGGCTCTACGCTAACGTAACTCGCTTACATGCAATATCAACCTGAGACTGAACACCTTCTTGCTCTGGAAAAAAAATCAAATCTAACGTTTGATGGCTGAGAAGGATCGAATGGTTATCGGAAAATACGCCTGAATTTGAGATCAAAGAATCAAATACCTCTCTGCCGCCTAACTAATGTCTAATGCACTATATTCTAATGCATCATAATTACAATTATATCGGGTGGATTTTTAGAGATTGGCTGAAAATGTTGTAATTTCAATTTTGGCAGTAATGACAATAGCTTTTGTATATAATAATCGATTTCTTTCTGTGTGCAGCTTGTTCTTCGACCGAATTCATATGCAGAAACGGGCAGTGCATCGACAGTAACAGATACTGCGATGGCGTGCAAGATTGCCACGATGGATCCGATGAACACAATTGCCGTAAGTATCGTTTCCACATCTGAAAGATGATCGCCTGCACTTATCACAGTTATTTGCATGCGCATGCAGTTTGAACTTGTAACGGTGGTATCGCGTATTGGTGCGCTTCAGAATTCGTCTTCGTCTTTTTAATATTTAATAATCTACTTAAGGCATATGGCACACAAAAAAAACGTAAGCAGTAAGACATAAGCAATATATGTGTGTGTATAAGCACAAACATTTTGCTTACGTTATTGGTTTATATTTTTATTATGATTGATTGATTCGCTTACGATTTACATTTTATATTTTTTTTGTGTACCATGGCCTTTAATGTACTAGTAATTGTGTTAGTTAATTTCGAAGTAATATTGCACTTTTGTGCGCCCTTACATATAACATTCACAGCTGAAGGGCTTACTATAACAGTGGGCTAATCCACATTTTGTATAAACAGAGAAAATTAACTCTAAAATAAAGATTAGGAAACAACCCATACAGTAAAATCTTCAGGGGATGTCCTCTGAACATCTTAAGAATGATTCTCGGATGTTTCTCGGATAAAGTGTGCTCTATGAGAATGGATTACTTCATTTTTTTATAAAATGTAGATTATTCCACTTGTAATAAGCCATTGACATATAGAATGGACCACCGATGGCGGTGGTGGAGGTAGAAAGACGAGTAGAGTGAGAGGCAAATAAATGGATGAACGTTCCGTCTCTTTTCCAAGCAGGAGCCTAACACATCGTAACAGGTCTCTGGTCATAATACTATAATAATAAATATTACAATAAACACTATAATAAATATAGTTACCTTATAACCTAGCAATAACACATATTATAACGAGTATTATATATAATTTATAGTACGGTTAACATCTTTCATATAACGATGGTATAAATATTATATATGAAATATACTTATCTGTAAAAATTGGGTGCAGAGGTTGTCGTAGTGCACACCTTGCATAAAACACAATAATTCACCATTTTATTTAGTTTTATTAACATTTGACCAAGATTTATTTTACGCAAGCGACAACGTACACTATTCTCGTATTCTCGCTTTTGGTTAGAGGCACACTTTGACACAGCATACAGTATTGCTGGAACAACAACCAATTAGGCTTTAATAAACAAAGAAAGAACGTTCATCCATTTATCTGCCTCTCACTCTGTTCGTATTTCTACCTCTACCACCGCCATCGGTGGTCCATTCTCTATATGTCGATGTAATAAGCCCTTTCATGTTCAAACTATTAAACCTTCTTATGCAAGCCGCGCAAATTGTCATTAATAATTCAAAACACCATTTTTATGCATTTTCAAGAAAGATCTATTATTTTTATATTCCAAACTCATAAATATGCGATATTTTTATTTTATAAAAGAAAATAGAACGCGATTAACATGAATGAACTTTCTACAATAAAGCCATTACCTAAGCTTAAGTCTTAAGCCGTAAGAAACCAATCATAGTCGATTATTCTTCTCACATTCGATTATGACTGGTCAATTTTTTACAGCTTGAAACTTAAAACTTATGTAAGTTTTACCGGATCTACAATAGATGTTTTAAGCCTTAAGCCGTAAAAAACTGGCCAATTACAGTCGAATGCGAGAAGAATAATTGACTATGATTCGTCCATTTCTTACGGCTTAAGGTTTAAAAACCTATTGTAGATCCGGGCAAATAGCTTATTTAATGGTAAAAAACCCAGAAAGCTTCTTATAACGCTAATACGGAGGTATTTCACGCTAATTGCGTGAGCAGAAATAAGTTTTGTAACAAGGTCGTTCTCGCACGTACGAATTTATAAGACCTGTGCGTGCTGATAAGGTATCTTCACGCGGAATCATGAACTGATACTGGATGAAGCGACGCTCTAGACATTATTTATCGCTAGCTAACACCGCACGACAGATTTGCATGCGACTGCGCCGGAGCTAATGGTCGCGGGCTGGTCCCGACGTATTACGATGAGCTCAATAATTATAATAACTGTGACAATAATAATAGCGTGCTCGGGGAAATAAAAAAAGAAGAATATAGGAATCGTAGTGGGCGGCAGTGGTTGACGGTGGCGTTCTTCGGCCTCGTGTTTAAGGCCGTTGCACCCGTACACTGCATCGACATCCGTTTTCTCTCTTCGTTCAACCCCGTCTGCCAACCCCCTCCCCCTCTCGCGCTACCCTTTTCAACCTCAGCTTATTATTTCCGTCGTCTTTTGCGGAGACATGCTTCGTGGCCGGTCCGTCCGTGTACGACCGCGTGCACATCGCTAACTTATTCTCAGTCGTTAAAAGGCATAATTTTAAAAAAATCGAAAACGTTTTACGATCGGTAGGTTGTGATTCGAGCGGGAATGCTTGCTTTGAACAGAAAAATACAGAAAAATACATACTGCATGCAGATAGTATTATAATTATTTGAAATATTTTTTATTTGAAATATTTCAAATATTTTAAAGGTTCTTATATCCATAAATATACACATAAGTTTATCATAAACATCAAATTTATCTAAAATATATTCTAAAAATCCTAGTAATTTAATACTTCAAACAAGATTATAAAATTAAATTAAATGAAATTAAATCATTTACTTATATAAAGTCTTCTACGATAAAATTTTATAATATTCTTAATTAAAAAAAATAATTTCTTGTTTTGAATATACATAATAAGAGTTTTACTTTCTCTTTTCTCTTTAAAATTTGTAATAAATACATTTTAAGACTCTCTCTCTATTATCAAGAAAATATTCTTTATTAATGATAATCGTTACTTAAAAGAGAAAAGTTAATCATTTTTCTTAACAGTAGAATGATATTTTTCTGAGCGTGTAGTACAATGCCAAGAATTGAATCAACGTGACATGATTATGTATTTTGTGCTTTTAATTTTTATTAGTTATATAAATCTTGAAGATGATTAAAGGAACGGTTAAAGGAAGCATCGTGATATACAGTCTTTATGTCGTAATGTAAGAAACATTGCAGGTATCCAGTTCGAATTATTTCATAGTTCATAAATACGCTGCAAATTGCGATTTTATGCGGCAATAATCCATTAGCGGAAATAACCGTAATGAGAAACAACGCGTTTGGTGACGCATGTTACATTTATGTGATTTTACGCTTACGCGTCCATTTGTAAATGCTAACGTCGTGATAGTGACAATTGTGACGCACAAATGTATCAATGGAGAATCGACTGCCGATTTCTTATTCATCTTCTCGCATAGCTTACTGCACATCTCATCAGCGGCTGCATGAATGTCGTTAGCGTAGAAGCGCGGAAGACGATTAAAAGGAGAGAAAAAAAGATCAGGACACCCCCTGTCCCTCGGTAAATCTGGGATGGCCCCCTGTCGAACGAGATTTACTCGCGTTTATTAATCCGCCCTAATAACCGGCCGCAATTTTAATCCGACGTTAATCTCCCATGGGCCGTCAGCCGAACATCGCGCCAGGCCCTTCCATCATAGCTCTGTTCCGGAATTTCGCATTTTCACCGCTTTAATCCAATTTTGATTCGTGACAAGAGCGTCAAACTCCGCCGCTTCACGAAAATCGGTCACGCCGCAAAATTGTGTCAAGCTATATGGCGAGAGTCATCATCCCCTATAAATCCTCGGCGCGAGATTATGTTTGTTTCTCACTGTTCGTCGACGATGTTACGCTACGCCAGCGAGTGATATTTTCGCGGCGGCTTATTTTGACGAATCAAAAGTTTTAATGGTCTCAACAAAATTCATTAGAAGACATCACTGGATACGTTCAACAGAAAAAGCAATTGCAGCTGATGTAAGATTCTTTAATATTCTAAATATATTAAGAAATAAAATAGGCTAATGGGAATTAAGTCTTGTGCAGTTAATTAATTATAAAAAGCACTTTTTATTAAAGAGAATCAAAAATATACCTATTAAATATACGATACAAAAATAACGCACTCTTTAAATTCTTTGGAGTGAAATCTCACTCTAAAGAGTGAAAATTGAGCCAGTCTTGAAAAGAAGTGGTTTAATTTTCAATCTTTAAGAATGAGATTTCACTCTTTAGAATGAGCTTTCACCCTAAAAGTTTTAGAGAGACGCGTTTCGGCTAACCTTCTAGCCATCTTCAGCAAACGCTAACACAAAGAAGATAAAATACAAATAACAATATACTTAAGATCTATTACGGTATGCCTTTAGCAATGGTCCTCATGAGGCGGTCAATCATATCTTTATCAATCAATTAAAAAATAATTTCAAATCAGTTGAAAGGTTGGGTGATACGAAATGATCGCTTAATCTTATTAGAACATAAACAAACATACTTTCAAAGCACAATTTAAAGGCCAAATTATGTATGGCAATAATAATAATAATAATAATATACAATATAAATCGCAAGTCCAGTAATAAAACCAAAATTGTAGCAAAAGTGTAATCGCAAAGTGATCAAACATCAAATAAGATTGAAAAGTAATAACGTCACGAAATATGTATATAAAAAATATATAGGTATACCATATGTATATATATATATGTATATATAGCTATATATACCTATATCTATATGTATATAAGTGAACGCTTGTCATGTCGAAGTTGAAACTTAAATTCATTAATAGAATTGGTTCTTAGCTCCCCCATTAGATCTAAATATATAAATCAATCATATTAAAGAATCTTACAAAAGTTGGGAAACTGCAGCTTCTTCTGCTAAACAGCTATTGTCACGTATTTATCGCCACGCAAAGAAAATTTACGCTATATCATATTTTGAGTAATTCAAAATTACTTTGGTTTTACAGTTTATCTGATTCAACAGTTAAACCGTTAATTTCTCGAGCACGTACGAGGGATCATTTCTAAACTACTCTGAAGCCGTGAAGCGCGAATGAATCGCCTCGAGCACCGAGCTCGTGAGTGGATTATTGAACTCGCGGCTCGTTTGCAATTCAATCGTCAAATGGGCGAGGCTTCGGGTTCAGACCTTGAACTTAAGATGATCTCAGAAATCGCAACATCTCCCATCGCTTTATCAAGTGATTCACGACTCAGCGTGCTGTCTCATACCCGTTTCCGCATCATCTTGTGGTGATCTAAGTCCGTCATTTCTCTCTTTATGACAAATTGAAATGGAAAAAAGTAGATTTTCGAAACTTTACATTACAGCAGTGCGATTAATCTCGCAATCGGCCATATTAACCCATATCAACTTCTGCCGCGAAAAATTTACAACAAATAAATTTTTTATAATTGATAGCTCTCTATTCAACGACAATTAAACGAATATAACTGAAACTTTTGTAATCCTATGTCGCCGCTTCACTCGATGGAATGAGTGTGAATTATTTATTTCGCATTGCGGTTTGAACATTTGATAAAATGTCATTCTATTTTTCCGTAATTTTTCGGTTCTGGTTTCCATCACTCTGGTTTTTTTTTTTTGTAGTAGCCGATTAATTTTTCTACGCGGCCAGAATACTTCAGCGTGATGATCGCGATGAATATTTTGATAGAAGAGATCAACTGCGAGCACGATTGTGCGAAACATCATTACGTGAGATGTAATGCCACTCCTCTCCTTTCTTTCCTCTCAAGCTTTATGTGGACGATAATTTAGTGTTTATCAGGGAAGTGTTGGGACTTTTATTTTTGTCGCTTTCGCTCGTAAAGAACTTTCCACTACGCTTCAATCGTGCTATCCCTTGCGAATTCGTACGACTTACGTATGTCCACGTGTGTATTTCGTCTCTGCGTGTATTCGTGCAATAACAGTCGTCGACGCGGTTAAATGTAGAGGTAACTGTTGGTCGTCACGCAGTGTCCTTCCGCGGGCAAGCAGATTCTTTCATGTTCTTCCATCGTTAACTAATTGCCGCTGTAAATTAGAGTACGGCAGGAAGGAGCACGACGATTGACGTAACTCCTCGTTCATTTATAATCTCTTCCGTGAAATTTCCTCAAATACGTGCTAATTAATGGCCTAGTCACTTGGGCGCGCTTAACACGTTTCGCTCGGCCACTAATTAGTTCATCTTAAGAAACTCCTTCCGTGCTATCTTATATCATCGTGCCGCGATCCTATGTTAGAATTGTTGTTTTGTGTTCTTCATTTCGGATTACTTTGGCATCTCGGGTCTGTCTTCTTTAATTGCACTCTCTATGTTTAATATTTCGTGAAATAGTGAATATTTAGACTTTAGAAAATTGGCGGAAAATGATATTATACTCTCTAAATTCTTTAGAATAGAATATCACTTTCAAAAGTGAAATCTCACTCTTAAAAAGATTGAAAGTTCTGTCACTCTTTTTCAAAAGTAGCAGAATTTTTTCTTTGTTTAGAATGAGATTCTACTCCAAAGAATTTAGAGAGTCAGAGATTACGAATGTAGTTAAGCATAACAGACCTAAACTTTGCGTTGCTTACTTGCTTCCTATTCACTTATGTACAAGTGAACCTAATTTAAATATCTGTTCTTTTCTTAAACATTACTCTTGAACTTCGGAATGCAGCTTAATTTATTCGTCGACGAAATTGTTATTCATTACCGACAATCATTGTGCTTCCTACGTTATTGTATCTCAGTGTCACATCTATTCAGCAATGTATGTCTAATCTTCGTCAACGTTATTCTCTCAATTGTGTTTGTACGTGTCATCTCTCAAATTGACCTGCATCAGTCGAGTCATCGTGCCATTCTTGGCGACATAAATCTTCCTAGATTAGCCTGAGTGCAATTCTTACAGCCTGCAAGGAAGACCAATTCGAATGCACGCCTGGTTATTGCGTGCCCTTATCACGACGCTGTGACGGATACACGGACTGTATCGGTGGAAGGGATGAACAAAATTGTTACAACATGAGTACGAATTATCACTATTTACTCCAATCAGCTGCAAAACGGCACACTCGCGCGAAACATGTAAATCAGTCGGCGTTGGAATAACGTGGCTGCACATCTATGCGCGAAATGACCTTTACGTTTGTCAAGAAACTCGTTAAACTATTTAACAAGAAATGTCGCGATAAATTTTTTTCTATTATGGGTATCAATTGCATACATTGCGTAATCAGATGACATTCTAGGGTCGCACGAGCGGTCATCGTGAAATTCCAACGCCGGTAATTACGGGGACACGAGGCAACTGAGAAGCTTTATTTTCTTTTTTTTTTGTTTCGTGAAATTTTAATTGCATTCGCAAAACAAATTGCATTTGCGATCGAGTTTTGAAGAGCATCGGTCTCGTGTTCCCGTGTCGCATGGTTTGCGATACTCGCGCACACGAGACGCTAGAACGTTTCGCAACACGTATCTCTGCGGCGAGAGGTAGGTACGAATTCTATTGCATCTTTTGGGTATACGGTGGAAGGATTACGGCATACGCAAATTTTCTTGCGTGAACGATGCCTGCGCAGCATGATATTTGAAAGCTCCCGCATTTTTAACTCATTAGGAAGTAGCGCATGATAATTTACGCACGACTCTGGTTACATCATAAAGTTATGCAGAAACTCGCGAACAGGTATTCACACTTGCAATAACGCGACGGCGATTCTTGCGCATAATTATTCATGGATATGTGGTAGCACATATGGCTGCGAATTTACTCCGCAAAACAGTCACAAGCGCAAGCGGTTAACAGTGATACGCGGAATAACCGTTTTCTAACTGTCGCGTATAAATTAAATTTCAACAAGTAATTTTAAATTCGCTCGAAAGAAACTCATACATTTTACGATGCTTTATGACAGACGTTTTTTTTTTTAACTAAACTGATCTAAATATAGATGCTAAGATTATATGGACATAAATACACATATCAAAATTGGGTAAATTTTGTAGTTGTAAAATCGAAGTCTATTCGCAATTGACAAAATGAAAAATCTAAAAAAGTTCTCACAAATTAAAACCTTAAATACGCTTTAAATATGCTAATGAAACTGTTATATTTTAAAGTAAAATGTATCTAATCAGTGAAATTATATCTGATCAGTTCAATTAATTTTTCTCTATCTATAGAGAGATACATTTGTAGATTTTATGGTCTCGCGATGAACAGCCGAAGTCGCCAACACGAATTTCAAACATAAAAGTAACGCGACACTATAATCTATATTTACTATAGGTCAAGTGGATTTCTGCAAATAATTGCTATTTTTAATTAACTAAAGCGGGCTATCGAATATTTCCGAGCGTGGCATGGATTTCAATTGATTATTGATATCGCGTAAACTGAATATGCTTCAGTAACTCGTTCAAATTGCGACAATAATCAATAAAACTCGAGTCGACAGCTCTTCAGTTACTTTGTACAGACAGAGAATAAAAACTTTTAACTAAATCAAGGTATCGTTGTGTGAAAGTGCTATCGTATCGCCAATGAGGATATTTGTGTTGTGCATATTTTTTTCGGTTTATCCATCCTATCTTTTTTTTCCTCTCCCTTATTTTATTTATACACATTTTTATTTTTTTTTCTATCAAACAGCACTTTTTTTTTCTCTTTCAAATAGCACGATGTCGAGCGGACGAATTCGAGTGCGCCAGCGGTTCGTGTGTCAGCAAAAATGCAAGATGTGATGGACGAAACGATTGTCTCGATCATTCTGACGAATATAATTGCAATGGTGTGTTTGTTTATATTACTTTTTCTTTTTATTATCGTTATTTTGTCCATTGGATTTTTGATATATTTCATAGCTGTTTACTCGTGAAACACAATTAATAATCACATATTATAATACATCAATATTATAATTTCTAACTCAACAATATAAATGTAACATAACAGTTATTGTGTATAACAGTAATATTGTTGAGTAGAAAATTATACATTGATGTAATATTATTGTTAGTTTATGTTCTCTCTCAACGGGTTATAATTAGAATAGATTTAAATTACAGTTTTTTAAAATTATATTTTTTTAGTTAATTATATTTTTATTAATTATATTTTATTAATTACATTTTTATTATATTTTTGAATTATATTTATTTTTTATTATATAGTTTATTAATTATTTAAATTGGAATAAATCTCGATTAATGGAAAGGTGAATAATTTTATCGCTCAGCTTTCGAGTAATTATTTCATAATTAAAAATATTATACATTTAAATATGATCTTGTGTATGATAATTATTATATTTAATAAACTTTTCCATTCTCTTTTATATTATCGTTTTCAGTAACCACCTGTAGTGGGGATCAATTCCGTTGTCTGGATGGCATCTGCTTAAGTATCGACAAGCGTTGCAACGGAATCGCCAATTGCCGTAACGGCGAAGATGAGAATCAATGCGGTAAGCTAATTTGTTTTCCTTCCCTCTTTAAAACATGTATTTATTTGATCGGTTCTTACATCTTAAGAGCGCGAGCAGAATATATCAATGAGATTTTTTTTAACAATACAGATTTCAACGGAGTCTGTCTTATACATCTCCGTTATTTCTGTCTTCGTCGTCTCTAATTGTATCGTCTTTGCTCATCGACAACGTAAATTCTACGTTGTTACATGTTCTAATCGTGAGGTCAATAATCACTTTTGCACGCGCAACGATAACTCCCGTAACGGTTCCAGCAATAAGCCGCGATAAGCCTGCACCGATGCTCTTTGCCAAGTGTCGGTTACCCGACGCGATTATTCACGAGCGATCGAGAGGGGCGCCTGAGTTTAAACGAGCCTCAAACGCGCCTGCGAAGTTTAACAACAAGATTGCAGGCACTTTGATAAGTCTCGCGAGTAAACCTAGCAGTGATCTCATTCGAACACGTGCTTAACGTCGTGGAAATAACGTCGCAAAGATTGCGATTTGTATGCGCATATATCATCATCATTTCCGAATTTTAATTAAGTATCGCTATTTTTTAATCAGTTTCGTCACGGATGAAAACATTTGTCTCTTTATTACAATGATGAACTACGAGTACGCGAGCAGAAAAGCGTTTACGCTTGCACATAATTAGACGTTGACGAGCGGTTACGAAGGTCCGGCGTTGGGTACACCATTACGCGTTGTAACGTGAATAAACGTAAACTTAATTTTCTCCGGCACGCTCCACGTGACTTTCGATTTACGATTTTCCACGCTGACCGAACTTTATGCTCCCAGCGCGCAACGCCGAAAATAACACCTCTTTTCCTGAAATAGTTTAGCCAATGTCGTTGCACCATTACCTCACCTAATCCAGGTTTCGTTTGCAACCTAAACCGGAGCGTCCACGACCGGTCGTGTGTGAAGAAGGCGGCGAACTTTCAGGCATTCCCGATGTACTCGGACCGTTACGTTACGACGTTACCTAAACTCGCTTTAATTAATCGACTTTTAAGCGAACCGCATCCGACATTCCTGCAACCAACACGCGTGGAGAGCGAAGACATCAATCCTCGCTGCCGATCGAAGATAAATTAATCGCGTAAAGATAATCCAATAGTCCACGTCATCCTGTTGCGATTGACTTATCTTTTTGATTGAGAATGCAGATTGCTGTCCTTCGCTCTTGTATATTCCCTGTATACTTCCTTCGTTCATATACTAACCTCAGTAAAAGCAGCACAGCTCGAAGCATCTCACACCAGGTAAAGGTGCGTCCGCTTCTACCGTCCAGATAGTGTAACGCTATATGCAAATCGTACTCTCTGACCCACGGTGTCATTTGCATCGTGTGATCATAAATATATGCCGTCAGGCGAAATTATTTAGCATCACGCCCGGTTTATTCTCTTAACGCGCATTTTGGACGGAAGATTCGGAGTGTCGAAGGGCTTGCTTGGAGCCGCGATCGCGCGGCTTTGCTGGTGGATCATGAGTGATCCTGGAGGGATGGGAACAACTTGAGGATGGGGGCTGACGCGTGTCAGCGAGGCGATGCAATCTTTAAATGCGCATGAGTGTATGGTGTATGGAGCAGGTTGCGGAGACACCGAGTTTCGCTGCACGGACGGCCACTGCATCAGCTACGTGTTGCAGTGCAACGGGGTGAACGAGTGCTCTGATGGCTCTGATGAGAGGGACTGCGGTAATTATGCCACATCACACTCATCTACACGCTCTTTTTTTCACACAATACAGAAACACACGTACACGAATTTACATCACACTTGCGAGCGTGCACGAGACAAGTCATTCAATAAATACATTCATAATGTCGCGAGTTGCATTTGGACAGTGTACACGGAACGACACTTGTCATAATACAGATTTTTCAGTTGTTCAAATGTGAAATAGGTTGAGATTGAGATTTTGAGAGAATAAGAATCTGTTTCTATATAAAGGTTGATTAGCTTTTTAAAAATAGATTTGTTTTTGTAATAAAAAGTAGTTACCCCCAACTTTACTAGTACTTTCATATTATTGTAATTTAGTATGCAGTAATAGTAACAGAAAGTCTATATTGAAACCGATAGAATTCAATCAACTTGTCTTTCATCGATCGTGCTGACTTTCAAATACAACTAGAACTTGGAATTGTATTTCAAATACTATTTTTAGAATGTATAGAATTAGTTGAGGTTGAGGCGCTTTAAGACAATAAGAATCGACTCATATATATGTAATACATATATATTTCCAAGGGTTAATTAGTTTTTTTAAATAGTTAAAGATTTTTTTATTTTTGTGTAGCAAAAAAGTTATTCAATTTTACTAGTATTTTCATATTATTGTAATTTAGTATGCAGTAGGTAATAGAAAGTCTAATACTGCAACCGACAGAATTCAACCAACTCGTCTTCCATCAACTGACTTTCAAATACAGCTTCCAAGCATTCCGCGTGATATTTTCGCCATTACATTCACCTTTTTCTGCCGTAATCCCTTTTTAATTTTACTTATCGCGAAATCATGCGCCGCCCGTAGAGAGGTATCCGTGGCGAAATGCCGGAAAGTTCGTGATTGTACGGAAGTCGGCCGCGATTTCCTACGGAGGGAAACTCGCCGAACGCCGAAGGAATATGAATATGCAACCCGTGGCGATGGAAAGCGCCGATCGACTCACCATCAAACCAGCCGTGACGATCGGTAATCCGATCCTGGAAGCGTTCCCAGAAGAAACTCAACGACGAAGATTCCCAAACTCCATACTGCAGAAACCCTCGGCATATTTGATCCAAATTACATCCAAATCGAAAGATAATAATTCGTCCTCACAATACGTAAAATTTGATCGATTTCGTAATCTCGATGCGAATTGCAGTAATGCCGAAGTTCATCATCCAACTGTTAACCAAACTTTAAAGCGATCAAGCAATGAGTCTCGAATTCCAAAACCTCTCAACTTGTCAGATAGCCTCATGAGATCTTTACAATTATTTCAGCAAAAGAATATTTCACTGAAAAATTTTGATTCACAATCTATCAATAATCGCGATAAAGTACGAAAAATGTTAAGTGGAAGCAATCCTGATTGCGCACCGAAACAATCGAATACATTCAATGCAAACGCAACGATTATGATTCTTGCACCCAGTAAAAAGGACAAATATGTTACAGAAAAGAATATTTCCAAATCAAAAAATTCGAACATCAGAACCGTTATCGAAATCTCTTCAAAAAAAGAGGAATATCAAAATGGCAATAAAATTAAGAGGACACCATCGAAATTGAAAAATAATATGTCTAATAAAAATTATATTGATAACAATAAAGCGATACGTCGCTCTAAAAACATCACTGTGGAAGCTGCGAAAAATATTTATGAAGAAATAGGCACAGAAAATAATCCTTTAATGACTCAAAAAAAATCAACTGATACTGTTACTCAACGGATTGATAATTTGATTTGCAAATTTATTAAAGCTAAGCACATGGTATGTCGTCAGAGTGATTCAACTGAAGTTTCAATTAAGCCAATTTATACAACTTCTAAAATAACGACTTCTAAAATAAATGACGCTAATATTAATCAGAATTTTAGTGTAACAGATGTACGTAACAACAGTAAGATTCTTGGAAAAAACCAACGCAGAAAGCACGACTCGGCTTACCAAAACTATTACGATAAATATTTGAGGAACTTAATAACTTCATCTACGATGAAAGTGTCGACAGAATTCGCAGTTGATACACGAACTTCAACAGCATTAAAAAATATTAATAGGCATGAAGTAACTTGGCAGGTTGAAAAGAGGAATATGCTGGAAACTGTAACTGAATTTATTTATTCTGATATATTCAATAATACTCACGGTCAACCAAATTTACGAGAAAATTATATTGAAACAAAGAATAACAATCCGAATAATAAAGAAAATTTTTTTGGGTACGAGATAAGAAAAGATAGTAAAGTTTCAAATTATTACAATAAATACCTGAAACGTCGCGTCACGCCATTTAAAAGAACAGCTCCTGTGACTGTAAGCACGACTAAAATTGAAGAGTATAACATGATGAATATGAAATATGATCGAGGACAGAAAGCAGCTTCATCTGTTTTAGAAGAAATGTCAACAGCGAATCCAAACAAAAATAATTATTCTTCGATAAAGACAGAAAAGTTACTATATGAACTTAAATCGCCAAAGGCTGAAATACGTCGGTATTTTCCAGCAACTAACGTTGATGATGTCGATATGATATCAAATCTTTCAACTTTAAATCATAACGCGACTCAGCAAAATCAAAGTAATGAAAAGTACAATAAAACGCACAAACAATCAAATATTTCTTTCGAAAAATGTTGCGACGAAAATTTGATACAAAGTAACGAGAAGATCGATTCCGAATTAATAAATTCAGGCGAGACGCCGGAATCAATAACTGTAGAGAGTACAAACACAATATCAAAGGAATCCAGGAAGATTTTAGAAGAAAAATCAGAGAATGATTTTGACGTTATGCTGTTCAATTTTACGACAACGAGGGTTCCCGAGATCGTCATGCGGGATGCAAACGAACCAAATGCCAGAGAGAAAACATCTACTGAAAGACGCGGCAAACGCAAGCACAAAAGTCGTCATAATGGTCGTAAGAACAATAGGCCCAAGAAAAGAAAAAAGAATCACGCGAAGCGTAAAAGGAAACCGACAGCATCCGTCGCTTGGAAAGTCGACGAGCCGACGAGCGTCGATTATGGCAACGCTTATAGTTCAGATCAGGTGGAAACGTTGTCTCCTAATGATCCAGAGTACAACAAAGCTGACGGTAATCGTAATACGAGCACTGGTGGAAACGACTGGAACTTCACTGATGAAATTACAACGGAACCTTTTAAAATAGAATTCTTTAACGCTGATGAGTCCGTCTCAAAACATCCCACGGAAAACAGCATTCACGATGAATTTCAATCGGAAGAAACGAATGTGAATTTCGTTACCAATAGCACCGTATCTTATTTATCAACGGCGTCCAATGAGAAAATTTCTAAAAAATGTAAAATACTAATTACAACTACCACTGAGAGCAATTGGCTTAACTGGTGGACAAACGATAATAAAAAGACAGACGAAGAATCAACGGAATGTGAAGAAGATGTTACTTCGCTGCCAACCACAAGTGATTCAATAGAAGAAGAAACAAGTTATTATAGTACATCTGTTAGCGATTATTTTTCGATATACAACACGATATTTACATCAGATAGTACTACTTTATTCTGGGAATATTCCAGCAAAGAAAATAAGAAGGTAAGCGATGAAGAAATAAGCACAACGTATAGCATGATCAAGGATGAAGAAAATAACGAGAAGAAAGTGATAAGTAAATCCATATTGAATGAAAAAAGTGATAAAAATAATGAAGGAACACAGTCTTGGGAAAGTACTACGTATTCTGGAGGCACTACGCACAACGTGAATTTAGACCTCAATAGTGAAGAGGAAGAAGACGGATTGGAGAAATCAGTATCCGATGAGGATAACGAAAACGACAATGGTATCGAGATCATAGAGGATTATGAGATCGACAATTGCAACAAGACTCAGCACGCTTGCGATAAATATACATGTATCGATGAGGACCAGGTGTGCGACGGTATCGTAGACTGTCTTAACGCCAATGACGAAACCGAGTGCGATTATATATATTCTAAGAGGTGGGAAGAGCATCAGAGAGTTAATAACAAACGGATTGACTTCACTTTGAACACTGTTGACGACACGTCGCATCTTGATGGATGCAATCGTTTCGAGCATCCTTGCGACAGCATGTGCATAAACGCGTTGCACGTCTGCGACGGCAAGAGAGACTGCTTGGACGGTACGGACGAGGAGAACTGCACCAAAGGTATTTCTCATATAGCAAATAATATCCTGCGAGAGGCGTCTTATTTCGCTCTTTGTTCACGCTGTAAAAATACCTCGTCTTAGATGATGCGTCACGTGAATCTCAAGCAAGCGCGACGCCCTGTTTCGGGATGATCTGTTATCTTCGCTGTACAGAAAATGGCTTTGAAGATATCAAATTGGCTAATATGTGGACGTCCTTGGGAAACTACTAAGATCTATCGCGGCGAAAAAAAACTTCAGGAACATTATTTCCGGCTGTTTGCATATATACTTCGCTCTATCTCCCCTTTAAACTGTTCTTATCTGAAGACTCGCTTTTGTACTTCCGAACCAATGTCATGGCGTGTGTTGGAAATCTACGTCATTTGTTATGTGTTACGTAGCTTTGGGGAACGAATGTGTTAAGAAAAGTATTACGAATAAGTAATAACTTTCTGTTCTCAGTGTAAGAGTGCACGTTTACATTGTGTTGTCCACCTTTGCTATAAAAATATTGCCTTCCGCGAAGAGAGAAAGAGAGAGAGAGAGAGAAAATAGTCAGACGGTGATCCTTAAAGTGCAGTGACCGAAGACGATTATCTTATCACTTATTAGACGATTATCTTATCTAGTTCTTATATTAGATTTGAAGACTCCTCGCTCAACCTGAGGAGGATTTACGATTAATGATTGCAGGAATTAGTATCAATGCATCTATCAATGATTGCGTTAGTTAGTCTGCATACGGTCAGCTGCCAATATTTTTATGTTCGCGATTAGATCGCCAGTTGAGTCTGCAATAGCAAAAAATCCTCTTTTCTCGGATGTAAGAAGAACGTCTTATTTCATCCATTCCATTGATATCATCGTCGTGTCATGCATTACTCATTCACTCTTTTCACAAGGATACAGAATTTGCTTCTCTGTTGAAAAAAAGAAGCATTTCAATGACACCCATAAAGAGTCTTTTCCGGTAATGATGACATGCAATCCACACGACACACGTACCCGAACATTGTACATAGTTTACGAATTGGAGTAAAGGAGAAGGTAAAGGAATATGAAACAACATAGAAACTTTAAATGCTGCGCGTGAAATTTCCTAAAAATATTTGAAATTAATATGATATACGCGGTTTATGTAACGAGAATCGTTTTATTTTATGGTTCAAAATTAGATAATTTCGTATATTGTGAAATATTCCTACCCCGTCTCTGATAAGTGAAATAATTCTAACCACCCTCATAAGGCTTCTTCACGACGCTTTAAGTGTTAGACCAAGCTTTAAAATATAATAAGATCTCTTGATTACAGAATCATGCGTTTTATCAAAGATGCTTTTCATGTACAGATTTACGAGTCCTCTACCACGCCTAAAAACTGCTTTAAATGTCTTTTTATATGTTCATAGCTTGTATTTCAACCTCGAACTCGTCTGTCTTTCAATCGCCAATATTAAGTATTATTTTTTAATACGAATTTAATATCTATTTCTAAAATACAGTAATTGTAACTTTAATATAGTATAACGATATGGTTTTAATTTATTTAAAAAATTTACTTAAAAAATTATTTTTTACATTTATTTATTTTAACAACGTGATATAAATCATCATAAATCATAAATCATAAATGAACTCAAATTACCCCTGATTTCCAAACTTTATTTCGAAAATCCACTGAAATCGAGACGACTGAACGGCAGAATGCGAGATGCGAGCGTTGATCAGGAGGATCTTTATTTTTTGCCGATGGCACTCTGTAGGTTTGGCTCCATGCCCTTCCACGGACTTCACCTGCGGGGATGGCTCTTGCATATCGAAAAGCTCGGTCTGTGACGGATTCGACGACTGCCCCAGGGCAGAAGACGAGCTTTATTGCGGTACATAACCATGTATACCTTTCACGCTACTCGGTATTAAAAGAGAAAGAGAAAAAGAGAGAGGGGGAGGGCAGACCGAATGAAAAAAAGAAGAGGCAATGTATGGATGACTTGCTGGCGTAATATCAATCAATGTTATTTTGACATTTAATGTAACTCGAGCTTTAAAAAAAAAGTTTTGGAAGTGAAACATAATATTTTTGTTACGTTTTATCGGTATCGTTATACGCATACAATAACAAGTGACGCGATGGAATTTTAACTACAAACGCGCTGAAATTGATTTCGAATAATTGGTGCGAATTATTTATTCGCACTGTTATGGTATTCGACCCGATAGATGGTTTGAACAAAATGTTTTGCAAAATATCGTTGAAAGTAACGAATAATCGATTTTATTAATGCTTTTATTCCTATTAACGTGATCTTTCCTTAATTATGAAAAATGCCTTGAGAGATATGTTCAGAACACTTTATTATTCCATAATTATATTCTGCAGATATTATATTGACATCAAGTCATTCCATTGACGATTAAAATGATGCATTATCTGACTCAAAAGCAAGAAAGTTACGATTCACCTAATTCTTTCTCTCTTTCTTTACACCGTTTTTTCCGAAACCTTGCTTAGCTTGCACTCCATACAACTATAGCTTGCCATTAAACCAATCGCTTAATGATTTCCCTCGTTGAATCTAATCACGGACTTGTTCCATGTTGGTTAGACGCTAATTACGAAGCTTAAATTCGGATTCAACGCTAACGTGACCAGAGCCGACAATGTTAATCGCAGATTTCGAATATTCGAATGGTAAACGTGTTTCAAATAATAAATTAGTTTTTATGTATATAGAAATTTTTCAAGTAAAATATTAATTATCGTAAACGTTGTTTTGGTAACTATACTATTTATAATTAAATTAGAAATGAAAATAATAATAAGTAGTAAAACAAAAGCGCCTGAAGGCGAAATCTGCGTTTAAATTAGCTTCTGTATATAAGTATATATATCATGTAGTTATATAAATAACTTATTACATCATCCTTAACGCATTCCTATAAATACCTATGAACTTTTCTGTAAAAGATATAAACAATGCCAAATATATTTCGATTATAATTTATGTATAATGGAACTTTTTGATACAATATCTTACGATTAATTTATGAGGTAACATAATTATCATTACAGGAAAATTCAATCATTACGTTAAACGTAACAATGTAATATAATATTTTAACATATAAAATGTAATTCACTCAAATATTTTCTTATTCGTTTTCGAACCGCGTTTTCTATCGAATTTCACTGCGAAAATACGCAAGTATTACACACCGAATATGCATGGAGACCACGATTCTTTCTGCGAAGTTTAATTCTAAATACCGGAATCGTCCGTCGACAGACAAACGACCTCATGATAGCAGACCATTACACACATTTACGTGAAGCTAATAATCGTGTATCCTCCCGCAAAACTATAGTCGATCGCGGAGGAAAGCTACGCTTATCGTCACGACACATTTTTCGCGCATTGCACGCGACATTGTAATTCGCATTAACCAATACGACGGGTTATTTTTCACGAGCGTTTCATTCGACTCGATATAAAACATAATTCGTGCTCTATAAACGCAGGCCGAATATAATTTCCAATTCTCCCTAATCCCTCCCGTAAATCATTACTGCTGAATAACACTCTCGTTGCTTCAGAAGCAGCTTTTTTTCGCTTTCGTGATGTGACAACAGACAGCAGAAGCTATCAATTAAGTAAAGGAAAGCTCGTGGAAAAAAAAAGCGAGACCGACGATCGAATTGCATCGTCTCGCTCTGAGAAGTCTGAGAGTGTGCGTGTGCGGCACGCTTTCCGCTTCGATATAGTATATGTATATGTATACACGGAGTGATTGTATATATGTGTAAAAATGTATGTGTTCTTTGCGCATATGTCCGCTGAACAAAACAAAATACAGAGCGGGAATGCACGCCTAACCAGTTCAAATGCGCCACCGGGAACAAGTGCATCGAGGATGTCTACAGGTGCGACGGCCATCCGGATTGTCCAGATCACAGCGACGAGGACTGCGCCCCGTCCGCTAACGACACTACACACACCACTTCACCTACCACCAGTACGCTCCTTTTTCAATGTGTCCATCGCTTCATTCATAATACATTTGTGCAACCTCGTCTAGCGTGCCCCGCTATCACTATTCGATCTCGGTAGATCTGTAAATAATCAAAATCTTCGATTGACTTTTCCTCATTAAAAACGTTCAAAAAAATGATAATAAATTATTTGATGAATACTGGTCGATACTGAAAGACAGTAATTAACTAATTATTTTAAGTATTAAAAGCACTATTGTTCAGTACTTTTAGTACTTGAAATAAGTAATTAATTACTATCCTTCAATATTAAGTTGGTCATCAGTTAGATTTCTGTAAGGGCTGTCAAAAAAAATCGAACGCGTGTCTCTCTAAAAGAATATTTATTATATCTATACGTATATTATAATAATTTATTTATATTCGTTATAATAATTTTTTATTCGTTATAATAATTTTTTATTCATAACTATTTAAACGTAAACGCATTTGATTTTAGTTGCTTATACATACCGGTACTCTATGCAGTTTTATTCGCCGCTAGACGTTAAACAATAAAAATGAGAGATTTGAAAAATATCTTTGGGCTTCGCGGTGTTACAAGTTGCTCGCCTTCTCTCGAGGTTCGTAATGTTTGCTTTCGGTCGAATCCTCTTAAGGAACTCTTATTTACGCGGGACAAGTGGATCTACCTGCCTGAACGGATACACACTCGACGATGGTTGTATTTCATTGTGCATTTCTCACGATCAAATCGTTACGACCGTGGTCGAGAAAGCGATTCCGCCTCTTGTTGCTTCTCCGAAGACCCTGACGGCCATTGTAACATTCGTTTTACCGCGGACCGGGAAAATTTATACTTACGAAACGCGACTGCTAAACTTTATCGAGGCAACTTATTGAAGATGTACAAGTACGTCTCTCTTCCTCTTTTATTTTCTTTTTTTTCTTCCGTTCTTCAACAAACCGTGTTCTCGACAACGGCTCTATTTTATCGTACCACCTGAGTGCGGAAGGGTCGGAACACACCGGAAACGTATTACCCCGCGAATCCCCCGTACGGAAGATTCACGGTGATCGTCGACGGTACTTTCGCCCGTTCGCGCCGCAAATCACCGCGTTACAAAGCAGCCTGCGGATATATACGCCATGCATTGATATACAAGTAGCTGCATTACGCACGAACGTATACGCTCGGACGCAGATGACGGTGTTCGATAGGAATGTCTTTGAACGTTTTTTTCTCTGCAAACTTTAGGCCCGGTCTCACCAACTCCGATTAAACTAATCGGCCGATTAAATATTGCCAACCGCAAGCCCACTAAGCAAGGAACGTTGCAGCAACGTTCAGTAACGTTTCTTGTTTAATAGGAAACTTGAAAACATCCTTTTTCTGGCGGGGCGCCGAGTACTCACGTGCTCGACTCGCATGGCTTTTTCGCATTTGAGAAATTTGCCATTAATATGGACCTGTGCTGTTATTATCACATCATTCTTCACAATTGCCAGAAAATTAGATTATGTTTTCAGTCTTGCAATTGGCAATACTGAAATTTAATTGGCCGATTAGCTTAATCGGAATTGATGAGACCGGGCCTTTAGTGTTCTTCCGGCAATAGTCTGCTAATTGCCGAAAGGACACTAAAAACGAAAAGTAGAAAACTTGGAGAAGCGAATGAACAGGGCATTCTTATGCAGTATCCTAGCTACGTTTGTGACTTCTGTTTACGAACTGGTATCTTCTTTTTAGTTTTCTATTGCATCATTCTCGGTTGCATTATGGTTGCATTTGTATGATAGAAAGTAAATGCATTACGTCTCGCTGCGAGTGTACCTTTAAATTTGATCTCTGGCTGCTCGATGCTTCATTTTCCTTGCTGCGGATTTTTCCCTTGAATGTGCCTGTGTGTATGTATGCGCTCAGACCCGCCCGATCCACGCTGGACACCCGAACGCAGGAGGGAATGCGATCCGAGGACAGAGATGCGCTGCGATGATGGGGGTTGCGTTCTCTTACGACGTAAATGCGACAATATCTTCGACTGTCTCGACGGCAGCGACGAGCGCGGCTGCGGTAAGGGTTTCACCTCGTTCTTACAACCCATCCTCTTCCTTTCCTTTCCGCATACTCGTATTAACGATGACAAATGTTTCCTGATTTCCTCCCTTCGCGTATTCATATTAACGATGACGAACGGTTTCTGATTTTACCTGAGAAAATCTCTCTTTTGCTTATAAAATAAAAAATTTTTATGTGTATATTTATTATTTCATTTTTATATGTTTATAGTAATTCGCTAAAATTCCTTTTCTATAATAAGCTGTTTCGATAAATTGTTATAAATCAGCTTGATAAATTATATTTTTTAAAACACTGAGATAAATTTTATTAAGTATTTTTCGCGTGGTAATACAGTTCTTTATTGAAATGCAACGTTGACTTATCTACTTATATTGACTTATATATCGATAATGTTTGCCATCGACAATTTAATAAAAGTTCATTACTGATGGCTCAATATTCCCACAAATATTACAATGGTGTCATTCCAATTAATTATTTTCTTATGATTGACTTAGCAATTACTTATAAACTTTCAATAATTGTTAATAATAATAAATAATCACTATAATAATTTCACATATCGAAAAGATCTATAAATTTGTAGTTATTTTTAAGTATTTAAAAGTTTTGACATATTAAATATTTCTTTAATTTGCTTTGAGAATTTAAACTTCTTTTACTCCTACTGAAATTTTTACCAATATCACATGCTTATGTAACAATCAATTATAATGACACCATTGATGATTCCTTATTTTTCCCCAATCCCCTAGTAGCACAATTCATCGGCGTAACATTGGCCCAACATATCTCCAATGTATGCCAACGTTTAACCAATGTTTCGCCAATGAATTGTGCTGCTCGGGTTCCTAATGCTTTTTGCGGGAGCTTTTGACACGCTATGTCATAAAGGGGTATGCACACCTGCCGAATGGAAGTGTGCCAGTGGCGAATGCTTGCCGGAAAACCAAAGGTGTGACGGAATAACGCAGTGCAGCGACGGATCTGATGAGGATCTATGTGGTAATTATATGACTGCTTACGCCCACAATCGTCCACAAAAAATGGCCTTTTCGCTGCTCTTGCTTGTTGGCCAGTTGCACACTGCAAAATTATTACAAATCTCCTTTTACAAGGTGAATAGCGTAAATCCCATTTATTCTCAATTTGCTGGAATCCTCGAATGATTCTATACCTCGATTAGAAAAATTTTTTACTCAATCAGATGTAATATTAATCTATGCAGCATGTTACAAAATTCAAGTTTGAATTATCTAATGATATATTTTCTGTTAATCTTAATTAACGTGCATGATCATGGAAAGTTAATTCCATTACTTCATTTTTTATTTGTGTACAAATTAATTATTTTCATTCGTCATACAATAATAGCATCATTATTCCCATCTTAATCTCAGTGTATTGAGATCCTAAATTAATTCCTTTGAACCAAAAATATATGGATGTATTTGTTATTAAGTTAACACCTCGAAATTGTAATAGTAATCGTATGCATGGAATGACTTTTTATCATATACGACATCGCATTCTCTCTTCGCAAAAGGAGTCATTCTCGCATGTGTTGCTTAATATCACACGTTGCATTTTGTCTACATTATAAGTGTTGGCGCACGTGTCTCTCTGGGAGTATAACCGGTATGAACATTTGGAAGCGCATGATAAAAGCTCCTGTAAGTAGCTCATGATAATATTAATTGGACGATGCAAGAAGAGCGAATGTCCCGATGGGTTCACATGAGGATTGATCGTTCTACTGTATACTTTGCCTTAGAAACTTATTAGAGCAGAGTGGCTGGTGTACTCAGCAAAGTACAATAATATACGACTAACAAGGGTGACAAGCAGCGTCTATTGTGTATGATAAGAAACGCGTAATAATTCACGCGAGCATCCCCACGTTTGTTTAACACTTAAGTAGTCGTAGAGAGTTTATTATTCATGATGTTTATCGGTTTGAGAATATCGTCGATAGAAGTCTCTTCGAGAAGGTAAATTGAAAATAATTAAATTGAATAATAAATACATACAATTGAGAAGTATTTAATTTTATAAGCGAGATTTTTTTCTTTCGAGAAAAGGATTACTAAGGAAAATCTGAATACAATGTAAAATCTGCAATATCCGTCAAAACAGGTGTTCCCGTCTTGTATAATATGCGCCGACTGCAATTAATAGATAAAAAAAATTTGCATACATATCGCCGCGATTACTCAAGTGTTAATAAAATGAATTACTTTCACGTGCGATGTCAGCACGTTTCTTTAGCCTTACACGTTGTCTGATTATCTTGAACAAATACGGAATCCCGCGGTGGTAAGGCCATTTTTTCTCTTTCCCCCCTTACCCTTCCTATTGGTAGCATGCACGATAATACTCGACATGGAACTTGGTACAATTATTGTAGTAACCGAATGTCCACCTGGGTGGTTTCGATGCAACGATGGAGTGTGCCTCGACGTTAAGAGACGTTGCGATGGCCGACCGCATTGCTTGGACGGCTCCGACGAGTTCAATTGCTCTCGTAACAGTGATTTTTAATTTTTAGCTTTATTTCACATGCCGAGGACGATATAGACCTAAACCACACACTGCGAATCGACTTAACGCAGTAGTTCCGACAAGTACTGCTTTATAGCTTCCACTTGAATGACATAGCAGTATCGTCGATAGTATTGCATTACGAATTAGAGCAAGTTACTTATAAAACTTTTTGTACTTTTCTTTTCTTTTTAGTCACATTGGATATTTGCATTTTGTAACTTAGGTCTGTGTCCTTCTTAGCGCATTATTTATGTCGATAATAGTCCGCACCAAGAAAGCTTATCGTTAATTTAACAATTAGTCAATGAAATTATATATATATATTAGCATAAATATAGAGACTTTTGTAGTAAAATGTATCAATTAAAACGATAACTTTTCTTCGTGCGCTATTTATTCTAATCTTTCTTCATAATATTATTCTACTTTTCCTTTCGCCCTCTGGGGGTTAATCATGCCACTTTTTCCCTAGAGCGGAAGAGTGAAAATTTTTTGTATGTATGTATGTATGTACATGTGTATACATACATAAAAATTATCACTTCACGTTTCCACTCTAGGGAAAAATAAGTTAGATGATTGATTTCCTGAAACGTTTTCTCTATCAGCATTCTCATTATGGATCATAATACTTTCTGCGACGTATGGTATTCTTGTTATGAGCACATGATACTTATATTCTTAGCGAATTAACAGTGAATGAATGCAACCAATTACTAATTCATTTTATGAATCAATTTCATCGTGTGCTACTAAAAAAGTGCTCAATGATATGTGTTTCAGTGTTTAAAGACTTGAAATAAATGCAGGATCAAATGTCGCGACCTTTATTTCTTGACACTTGATCTTACTTTCATTTCAAATCTTTATTTCGTTTTCTTTATCTTCGTCAATACGTTCGTCAACCTTTTTTTTATCGAAATTGGCTTTTCTATTCGCATTTTCGCGAAACAAAAATCACAGACTTTGTGTCAAAGGGTATTTTGCGTATTCCATCTTTCGCATCGTTTTGCTTGCGCGGCAAAGCAAAACGGTGAAAGATGTAACAATGCAGCATGCGAAACCTCTCTCTCTATTCAAGATTAACCGATTTTCTAAGACAGTTCCAAGAAACATACAAAAGTCAACAAAAAATCAAAATGACTTTATTTTGATTCTTAATGTTAATAAACAGTCAAATTTTGTAACCAAAAATTATCATACTTTCATGATGTTAAAATAAAGTCATTATGACTTTCTCTTGACTTGGTGTGTTCCTGAGATGTCATGTACGAGCGACTTTTCCGTATCTTATGCGGAATGTCGATCGTGCAGAACGTTAATAAACGGCTACGCAGGGACTCTGCAGCTGTAACTGCAGCGACAGCAACTGCAATGGGTGCGACGACGGCGACGGTGCAGCCGTTCGAACGACTTCTCGCGCGCACGTCGGTGTTCAAGTTGGCAATTAAGAGGCTGTGTAACTAATACGGGTGCACGGACGCGTACACACGTACGCGGAAGCTGTTAATCTCATTTCGTCGCCCTGTATCGACCGTTTGAGCACGTTTTAACCGGACGTTGACTGACCATTAACTCGAATACCGACGTGTCGTGGCACCACTTGCCGTAGTCATCCCGGAACGACCCTGTCAAAGATGAATGAATCAAAATCAATTCGAGGGAATTCATTCTCGAAACTCGATCGCCAAACTCGGGAGATGCTTTCAAAGTATTTAAACTTCTTCTTCATCCTCTTTATTAATGACTTATTAATTAAATGAATAAGAAAGTAATTACCAATACGAGCCGACACTGGTTCTTAGTGTATAAATTACATGTATTGTTCAGTCGTAAGTGAACGTTTCGACCCCAATAATTTGAGTTATCCTCAGTACAATTCTAATCAAACAAGTGGACACATAAAATCAGCCTAAATTATATCTTACATATATAATAAACATTCAATTTAGAATACCGTTCGAATTGTTTTTATTAACAGATGTAATGATCTTTTTAATTTGTTTATATATTTACATGCCACATCTTACAGTCAAATTTGATCTAAGAATGATGTTATAATCAGTGGTCATATATAGTATATCTCTCAAAGACTAACAAAGTACGATTGTCAAGTGTGAATATCAGAGCCTTATTCGTTTTCTATATTGTTATTAATTAAAGCGATGAAATGGAAATTATTATTCGAAAAGAGAGAGAGAGAGTTTGGAAATTCGTAATTTCCCGAATTAATATCTTTCGATTCGTCTCTTCCCATATGATCAACGATTTCTCTTTCTATGTTTTAGCATTATATATGTATCTTGTTACATTTTAGTATCAGACACAATGAGATATAAAGAATAAAATGATGATTAAGAAACGATCGATTCATTCTTATAATATTTCTTACATTTATTGATCACTCCTATATTTCACTGTGTCTTGGTTCTTATAGCTGTTTGTGCCTTGATCTTGAATATTGGATACTCAATAACATACTTGCGTACATAACATACATCTTGATTACGCGCTCTGACTTCTTGACATGCATTTTGCATCGATTATGGATGGGATCGAACTAACTCTACCTATTCTTCTTTCTGTCTTTCTACTTGTCTATCTGTACGTCTATTTTCAGCACAGGTTGCCTGATCTTTGAATTGCGCATCTACTTGTATATATACATATCTATATATTATATATATCAGTGTATACAAATTGTATATGGTATATATACGTTTCTCTGATACCCTTTTACCTCCGGTTATTTACATCTCCGCAATTTTCCATGCCGCGCGCTGACGCGTGCACAAACCGCGTACTCCGCTGTTGCGTACAGCGCGTAAAAGCTCGCGACTGACGTAACACGAACTTTTGCAAATGTCATGTTTTGCACGATTGTCCTCTCCCACGTTTGAGAAACTAAGTTCAGTCAGTTTATTAATGTATAAAAAAAGACCACATATTTTTCACACGTGAAAATTTAACGTTCAAGTAAAACCGGTTTAATATAAAATGAAGCGACATTTATACGCGGAGTTATTATTATAAATTTCTCAGATTATGATACGGTTTAGCGAAAAGGCACGAAATTATAGACCGGAAACTATGATCGTTTAAACAATTTTCTTTCTCGGTCGGTTTTCGTTTAATAACCCGAGGTGAATGCGTGCACGCGGCATCGCGCCGTCGTCTCCGTGTTTCTTGAGATAATACGGCACGCGGCAATGTGCACGATACTTATTAGACGAGGCCGGCGTACTTTTATCGCCCTTCGTCCATCGCAGGAGCAAGTACCTCTCGCGGGACTCTATCGATCGATAATTATCGAAGGCACTTGGTCAGCCTCGCGCATCTAATTTCTTCGTGCAAGGGTGAGGGTTGCGCTGCACATACATCGAAGCCGTTTGCACTTTTTTTCCGGCTCATACGAGAGTATTCTTCGCGACCTCACTTAATGACCTGGTGAAAGTAGAATAGACGCTCGCGAACGATTGTTATTAGACAAACGTGCACATTGACGCTTCGTACCGCTCACACGTACAAAGAATCTTCGTATCGTTTGTATCCCTCCTGCCTTTATTTGCCATTCAACGGAGTTGATTGGTTTTTGCAGAATGCCCCGACGGTCAACTACCCTGCGACAATGGCGTCTGTATCAATAAGAACTTCTTCTGCGACCACAATATCGACTGCCATGACGCTAGTGACGAACGAAATTGCCGTAAGAATATCTTTGGATAGATATATTTTCTGCTGTTTCACCGAAAGTTATATTCGATATTCAAATATTACACTCTATACCCTGTTATGAGGATTGTTTGGAAGATTGGACATTTTTAAGTAAAATATATGTGTATTTTGTAACTTGGAGTGGAACACTTAATATACACAATTAGGTCATTTGTGTCCTGCACATTTCTTTTCTTTGAAATATTAGGAGCACCAAATAATTAGTTATAATATTTATATACAATTTTTTTAAATATGCTTATAAATATTCTCTAAAGATATTGAAGTATATTTAAGAATTGCTTGATAATTTTAATATACTTGAACGATCCAACGTAGAAAGCCGAAAAATCATCGGTATATACTAAGGGTTAATTAAGATTTTTCATTAAAAAGATATTTAATCCTCCGGAATTAACGGTAGGCTTATTGAACGTATTCAATAAATCTTTTTGTGAAAAATGTCGAACAATTCAATTTTTTTATCTGCAAATTTGAATTATTCTTATTAAAGTATACTTTCTTATTAGAATAATATTCGTTCTTTTTTATACAAATTATGTCATATTTTATATAACTTATGTCCTTTGGTTTCTAGATTAATTAAGGTCTTTTAATTATAATATAAATTAAATGGGCTTTTTGTTTAATTAACGAATTTTTTGTTCGATAAGCGCAGCTTTGATAAACGCGTGTCGCTCCATTTTGCAGCGGAGAGCGGAGAGACCGGCAGTTCAGGCCACGAATGCCACGAGGGTAGCTTCATCTGCAGCGATGGCAGCTGCATACCTCCAACTGCAGTGTGCGATGGACGTGCGGATTGTCCGCACGATGAAGACGAGATTAACTGCCGTCGAGGTAAGTCAAACTTGCGGAATCGTCGCGATATTCCTGCGTTGTCTTCTTTCGTAAAGAGCTGCGTTAATTTAGGTCCGAGGGAGTGATCCTTATTGATAAAATATTCAGAAGATGGATACAGAATTCTCCCTCGTTGGTTAATTCATCCTATCGATACGATGTAGCCTTCGGAACGTATTCATAGCCAGGACTTAAAAGACATTGAGAGCACGATTCGAGGATACAAACCTAATTTTTCAACTTATAATTTCTTACGTCATTATTATGAATTGAATGAATAAGTGCCTTTGTAGACGAGATACAAAATTTAATCCCACTTCTACTGTATTTTGCGCAACGAGCAAGTCAATCATTATGCTAATAAACTCCTTAAGCCACCAATAATCTTGTCTCTCAAAATCGTTAGTACAAATAAATTTTACTTCTTAGATTGAGTCCGACGGAAGTTGATACTTGGAATAGGAATGAAGGCACAAATGCCTATTTGTGTCTCAAGTTTATTTTATTACATCCGGACTCGCTTTGAGTCCTGATTATGCGTACGGTCATCGGACAAGAAGAAGGCTTTTTCTCGAGATTTTCGAGGCGTATATCGGTTGCGGCCGCGTCTCCAATACATCTTCCGACACATCTACGAGAAACACCGCAGCTCAGATTGAGTTACTTCTAGGTGTAGACGCCTCGGATAGTGTCTCCTCGAAGGGGCGTCCAGAGACGCCGGGGGTGATAGCCGGTGTGAATCCGGATAACGAGGCTTACAGCCCAGACACAGATGCAAATGCTGATGTGCCGCCGACAAATCTAAGCACGCCGAGGAGTTGTGCTCCGGATGATTTTGTTTGCGCCGACGGCACTTGCATCCCCGAAACCCACCACTGCGACCATTTCTACGATTGCCGCGACTTTACCGACGAACAGTACTGCTTCGGTTAGATTATTTGTAGATCTCGAAAATCTGGTGACACGCACGCACCCCGCATCGAAGTCTCGCGCGCTTTCGTTCTCACCCCGACGGTTCATTGAGTAATTTCATGGCTATGGAGAAGAAGTTGTTCGTACGTCAATGTCTTGTCATACGAATAATTCTTCGTGTATTTACGAATTCACATTAGTGTTATTAACGTGTAAATAACGTTAAAAATTTTAGGTAAAAAGAAAATTAATTTTTTATATATTCTTTTCAATAATCATTTACAGTATTCTTCACAGTATTATTGTCCTACTATTCTCTCTTTCTTTTTTCTCTCTTTATTAAGAGAGAATTGATTTTAACTAATTTATTAATTTTTAGTCTTTAATAAATATTTTTTCAATATTGTTCATTTTTCGAATAAATTACTATAACATTTCTTTGCGAATTTATTCTTTTAGGTGAAAGGTTATATATATTTTTTTTTAAATTTTGTTCTGCTCTTTTGAATAACATCAAAGTTTTTATCCGCGACAATATTTTAAAATATCATTGAAAACACCAGATTCTCTTAGATCTGTTCTTTTCTGCCAATCTGTGTTAGCAGCTGAATAGAAGATGTGTAGGTTGTTCCAGTAGAGACTTGATTATATTTCTAAAATTTATAATCGCAGTCTTATATATATTACCCGGCGCATTTTTATAAATAATAGTGCATCTCTGCCTGACGTAAAATTTAGATTGTTTATTTTTCTCGTAGGTAGAACGTTTGGCATACATCCTATTTGGCATGCATAGCATGAGGAAAGTACAATTTTACCTATACATTTTTGTGCATTATATTTCGGAAGAAAAAATACTTTAAAAAAATCGATATACGACCTATTTATTAACAGCATCAGTGTATCGCGCTGATCGAAATTGACAATATCATGCATAAAAATTAAGGAATTATAAATGCCTTTCCTCCTGAATCTATATTAAAGTTATATTGAATGATGAATTATATTTAAGTGTTCGTAGATAACAATCAGTGCATATAGCATAAATAACTGAAAAATCGTTAGGTCATTCATGATACTTTTTATTATTGTCACGTTATTCTCTTTCGTGAAAATACGTTAAATTAGCTCACTGATTTTGTGTTATATGAACTGATTTCCGATATATTTGATCTAGATTCTAGAACAAAGCTGTCTAAATTGGTAATGACAAGCCAGTGGAAAAAGGCGGGATGAACGAGAAAAGGAAACGCGTAATAGTCAGACAGCTCTGCTCTAGATTACATTTAACAGTCTTTTCTAGGTAATAAAATCTTTACCTTCATCGTATTTATATTTCGGCGTTAGATCATTGTTTAGATTGTAATGACGGACATATGATGGCTCCATGGCTGACATTTTACATGTATCTGTGTCTCATCGTTTCTTTAACGGATCAATGACTCACGGTTGTCTCGTTAACGTACAATGCAAGCTCTTATTTTAGGATGCACTCGGGACCAGTTCCAGTGCGCCAATGGAGATTGCATCCGCGCCGATCAGAGATGCAATGGGTTCATCGAGTGCTCCGACGGTTCCGACGAGCCGGAGGAATGCGGTAAGTATAAAAGGGTAATCACTTAATCAGCAACTTAACTCACGTACTAATTAAAAAATAACTATAAACAATAAGTAATAAAGAAAAATGTACAACCGACATAGATTAGTACAATACGTAACTTCGAAGTACATAATTTATAAATGTAAAGCAAAAATGTAATGCAATCTGTGAAATGATAATATAAATGCAATTCCCTAAATTAATTTCTTAATTCCTATTTAATTTTGATCTAATTAAATTCTCTCTTATATTTTTGTTTACTTTTGCTTTATTAGAGCCGCCAAAGCCAACATCAGGTCAATGTGTCGCGGATCAATATATGTGCATTTCGGATAGAAGATGCGTCCCATTGTACAATTCTCATATAAATCACGCATTAAATTAGCAGTAAAATGAGCTAAACGAGATCAATAAAGTCGCGAGTCTACTCCGAATTTTTATATTAGTAACTAAGACTATAATTGACAACGCGACTTCCTGACTTTCTCGCCTAATCAAGATAATCTAAGCGATTCTGCGAAAACGCAGCATAATGACACGCATTTAACGACGAAACTAAAGATCGCGAAGCGGTATGCTCGCACGAAGAGTGGAGGTGCAAGAGCGGCGATTGTATACCTCAACATCAACGTTGTGATCGCCGGATTGATTGCCCGTACGACGACAGCGACGAGCTGGGCTGTCACTATAGAGCGATGCAAAGAAATCACAGTAGGTGCAGCGCGCATGAATGGACGTGCAATGACGGTCATTGCATCCCGCTGCATCAGCGGTGCGACAAAAGGCTCGACTGTCCTAGAGATATGTCCGATGAGATGGATTGCAGTTATGATAATTGTGAGTCTCCTCTGTAGTTAGTCATCCGGAGCCGCCTTCGGGAAAGGGGACCGCATGACCGTCCGATAACACGCCATGCGCTAATCAATAATACCTTGTAAATATCCGTGACATCGTAACATAATATCTACTGTAACGTAATACTGTAATGTTTTATGTAACACTAAAAGGTATTTATTATCCCCGTTTTTCATCGGATGAGATACAAGCAAATGAGTCTGTATTGTATTTCCATCATTTAAATTGCAATTCCACCTTTACCCGATAATGTACACACTTTTAATCTGAGAATAACAAATATCTATTTTATGATAAATCACACGAGGGGTACTGTGAGCTCTCTCGATTTTTGTAATGGTACATGATAGAACGTAGAAGTAGACATCACACTTTTTTGTATCATATTTCCTAAAAAAAAATTAATAACTGAACTAAAATATAAAATTGCATTTCCTTGTAGATAAAAAATACAGAAAGGTGCCGGGTAAAAATCTCGAATTAACAAAGTTGATAATTTAACGTTGATTCTGTACATACATTTATTAATCATTAATAATGATTGTTAATGCTTTTATTATTACTTATTGTTAACTTGTTATTTTTATTCGTGCGCAGATACCGATGGAACATCTGACCTTAGACTGAAGACTTATCCCAGTGAACAAGTGATTAAAGAAAGTAAGTATTCTGTTCTTATTAAACCGTATACGGATTTGATGAAATGTTGTATATGCATTTGTTGCACTTCAATTTTTGCATAGTTATGTAACTAAAGTATCTCAATAATCAAACATCTTAATTATTTAAATTAGAAAAATTAACACAAAATAATAGACATTAATAATATAAGCAACAAGTGCTGCGTTGCCGATGAATTAGATATTCCAAAAGAAAATTAATTAATGAATATGTTTGTTATTTTTTTCTTGCCTTGGCCAGACCCGGCGAAAATAGGTAAGACTTTTCAAAAAATATAAGCTGCAAATCACGCTGTGGGCTAAAATAATCTTCATGAACCATTAGACGTGCAAGATTTGAAATACGTATTTCAGTTTTGACATACAAGTGTCTATACATTATGTTTATGTATCTCGCTTTTTTATGATTTTCTGTTGCAAACTTTTCTTGAGGCAAAATAAGCAACAGAATCGGTCTTTAAAACTTCCAATAAATTTTCTAATTATAACATTAAATATATTTTAAAACCCGACGTTTTGTTTCGCTGATATATACACATATTGTGTAATCATAAAATCACATTTATTTGTAAGAAATGCGATTTTTATATAATTAAATCAATAACTGAAAATTTCATTAGTAATATAATATTGTTTGAAGCCATGCATGCAAATTTTAATCATGCATGATAGTTAATGTCGTTCAAAATTTGAACTATAGTACAAATTTTGGCTATAAAATTATAATGTATAAAATCTTCCACTATCGGTGTCTATAATCCTGATTGTCATATATATACATTCTACTTATAATAAAAACTCTTTTGACACTAACTTTTCTTCAAAAAATCTCTATTTCATTATGCTGAATGCCTTGTATAAAATTTTTTGCTGTTTACGTACAAGCAACGTTTCGAATAACATGATTCAGAAAAACTAAAGTGTTGCACGTGAATTGAATTAACACGTCGTCAGTATCATCTCAATTTAAGAAACGAGGAAATCCGCTTGCTTACCGATCACTTACTGACGGGACATTTGACGTACCGCGAGCGTAATGATCCGTAAAGGTGCAATCTCTCGAAACTTGAACAGAATTTATATCATGTAAAACCGTTCCGATCAGGTCGCGAGGTCGTGTTCCAATGCCGTGACGAGGGTCTTCTACGTGCCAGAGTACGTTGGATTCGCGGCAACGGCCTTCCTCTGCCGCCCGGCAGCCGAGACATCAACGGTCGCCTGGAGATACCCAATATTCAACTCGAGCACGCTGGATCCTACATCTGCGAAGCCTTGGGTTATCCACCGTCCACCCCAGGTCGTCAAGTGACCGTTGTTCTTACTGTTGAAAAATGTACGTTTATTATCATGCCTCTCTAATTTACATCTATGATCGAAGAATTTATTTGCAATAAGATATAGTCATGAGAAACACTAGTAATTTTATCTACTATGACTTACTTAAGCACACATACAATTTTTACTGAATCCAACATTAAAAACATTTTTAAACATTAATTGAAAATATTAGATAATGTTTTCAATGTTTAAGGTACAGTGAAGATTTAACTATCTGTTTAAAAGTTCTAAATGCTATTTAATGCTTTTAATACTAAAAATAAGCAATTTCTAGTACTAAAAATTGACCAGTACTAAATTGAACTTCTGCAAAGGCATGGAGATAGTTAAATCTTAGAATAAGTTTAAGTTAATTAGAATAAGTTCTAATAATAGTTAAATCTTATTGTATAGAAATTAATTATTTTCAGTATTAAAAGTACTACTTTTAATATTCATAATGAGTAATCAATCACTATACCTTTCAGTAAATTTCTGTAAAGGTATATAATACCTACAAACAGCAAGTAAGCCATATTGAGTATTAAACCATATTAGGCGCAGTTACCTTAATAAATTTTAAATTCGTGTTTTAATGACTGAAGATCGCGTAATATTAAATTGATTACATATAGTTGAGCAGCCAGCCACCAGACCACCACAAGTGTGCCAGTACGATCAGGCTACCTGCAGCAACGGCGACTGTATTCCCAAATCGTACGTTTGCGATGGTAAATTCGATTGCACCGATGGATCCGACGAGATGCGGTGCAGTAAGTATGATAGGCACCAGCGAAAAGCTGGATATATCCGGCATTCATACTTTATGATGAAAATTTCACGCAAACGCTTCGTATGTCCGTTTCGACAGGTCCGCACGGATGTGAGCCCAACGAGTTTCGCTGCAATAATAAGCAGTGCGTCAGCAAGTTGTGGCGTTGCGACGGCGACAAGGACTGCGCGGACAACAGCGACGAGGAGAACTGCGCGCCGTCTCCCCCGGGATCTCCGTGCCGTTACAACGAGTTCGCCTGCAGCAGCAATAAACAGTGCATCCCGAAAAGCTACCACTGCGACATGGAGCGCGACTGCTTGGACGGCAGCGACGAAGTTGGATGCTGTCAGTAACGATGAGAATTTTATGAGCGCCAAGCATCAATATTTTGTTACAGATCGTCTGACAATCTTCATTGAATAGTAGCTATATAACGTTCACAAAAACAGTCGAAATTATCATACATTTTACATTACATTTTAAAACATTTCACTATTTTGATTTTCTATATGGAAGTTAAATTTAAATTTTATCTTTTTTTATTATGAAAGAAACTTCTGCCTTACTGATAATTAACAATATAGTGAAATGTCACTATTATTGGCTACTGTAACCAGGAACTGCGTTCCATTATTCATTACGAGTATTGAAAATCTTCAGTTCACGTTACGTATACTATTATAGATTTTCAGTACTTGCAATGATTAAAAAACGCAATCCAAATCTGCTTGAACAGATTTTACAAATCGTCTAACAAATTTTATTAGCAGAAAAGTTATAAATTTGATACAGTATCTGTTATATCAAATATTAATGATAGAATGCCATAAAATTGACAGCAGATTAGCGACAGAAACTGAGCAATTTTACATATAATTTGATGCAAATTAACAGCAGAAAACAAAAAAAATCTGCGTTTGATAGATTCTGTTCGATTTCTATTGCCAATTTGCCATCAAGTTATACGTTTACAGACTGTGCTGGCAGAACACAGATACCGAATCTGCTGCATTTGTCTAATCAAATTTGCTGCCAATCTGCTATCATTCTACGGATAGTTTACTTACTGGATATTAAATTAAGTTTATATATTATTTCTTCTCCTTTCAGCTCCCGTTTACATCGTGAAACCTCCACCACCAATGGTCGTCCTCGTGCCGGGCGACATGTTGGTCCTTACCTGTACCGCAATCGGTGTTCCGATACCGGAAATCAACTGGCGTCTCAATTGGGGACATATCCCCGCGAAATGCACAACTGTGTCCACTAATGGAACGGGTACATTAACGTGTCCAGATATACAGGTGGAGGACCAAGGTGCGTACTCGTGCGAGGCGTTGAACGTCGGAGGCTTCGTCTTCGCCGTGCCGGATGCCATCGTTGTCGTGAACGATCGCAATATCTGCCCTAAAGGCAAATTCAATTCTGAAGCGAAGACTGTTGAGGAGTGTATCTCATGCTTCTGCTTCGGCGTCGCCACCGAATGCCGCAGCGCCGATCTCTTCACTTATCAGATCCCGCCACCATTCGACCGCCACAAGATTGTGTCGGTTGAAACCATTCCGACGATTAGAATCCACGGTGACGTTAGTAATCAAATATCCCAGATCCGTTCGCTTGGCCGGGACGGCGTTCAGCTGTTGGAGTCCTTCAGTAACGATTTGAATGTGTACAACATTCCTTACTTCGCGCTGCCGGAGAACTATCACGGCAGTCAATTGAAGTCCTACGGCGGCTACCTAAGATACTCAATTCGCCACAGCGGTAACGGCACGCCGAACTACGCCCCTTCCGTTATTTTAAGTGGCAACAATTACGTCTTGGTGCACAAAGGTGAAGAGCCAACGCCGGATTACGAGAACGAGAGGTCGGTCAGGTTCTTCTATGGCGATTGGTATAAGCAACAAGGAAGAAGCGAAGTCCTAGCTTCCAGGGAGGAAATCATGATGACGTTGGCAAGCGTTGACAATATTCTTATAAAGTAGGCATCCAGAATCTTGACCATAAAAGATATTAGAATAATTTTTTTCAATACGTTCAATATGTTGCAGGGTGAAATACGACGACTCTTCGCAGCTAGATGTTCGTCTCACTAATATCATTATGGACACCGCTGATGCGCGAAATACTGGCCTAGGATCCGCGTCCTTCGTCGAAGAATGTCAATGTCCTACAGGTGCGTATTTCTTCAATGATCAATCAAGTATTTGTGTAACAAGATTTTATTTATATTATTACCTGAATTATCTTCAAGGATACACTGGTCTATCTTGCGAGCATTGCGCACCTGGTTATCTGAGACGCGAAAGCGGGCCCTGGCTTGGCCAATGTTACAGAGATGAACCACCGTGTCCCCCAGGATACTATGGCGATCCTTCAAGAAACATCCCTTGCCAGATTTGTCCTTGCCCGCTTACCAATCCATCGAATCAGTAATTAATACAATTAAATTTGCCATTATTGATATTTCAATTCAAAACACTTTCGTAAATTATCATATTATAAATAGATTTGCTCGCACGTGTCATCTTGGCTCTGATGGCCAACCCACGTGTGATTGTCCTTCTGGCTACGTTGGACGCAGGTGCGAGCAGTGTGCCACCGGTTACCAAGGGAATCCTCTTATTCCTGGAGATATGTGCGTCCCGCTTCAGCAATGTGATCCTAACGGTAGTCTTAGTCCTAACGCCGATCCACATACCGGAAAATGTCATTGCAAGGTACAGCATCGATGACCATAGCGTTGTTATTCATATCGTACGCGTAATTTTGCACAGGATGTCTTAGAAATCGTGCATTTTTTCTCAACTATAATCTCATCTTCAAAAAAAAATTCTTTTCTGTAAATAAATTGTTTTATTAAAATATCTATGCGAGATAAATTGCGCAATTTCCTGGACACCTCGTATAACGATTTCATTATTGTTCTTGCATCCATCTTCTGTGTGGATTACTTTTAACTTTAAAAATGTAAGTATATTTTATAGTCTTTCTATATATAAAAATGTATGTAAATCGAGGTTTAAAATAAAAATGAGTGGTACGTCTTGGTCGAGAACCGTCGTCTATTCTCTAATATTTCTTTTTTTAGCAATATGCAACGGGTCTCACTTGCAACCAATGTAAGGCGAATACCTTTAGTCTGGCCTCGACGAACCAATTTGGATGCATAGCTTGTTTCTGTATGGGCATCACCAACAGATGCGTCTCCTCTAATTGGTATAGGAACGAGGTACGACGAAGATATAGTATTTAATGTCTATTTCCATCTTTGTCATATAGATCTCAAGTAGAACACAAATCATCATGATATCAAAAAATGATATTAAAATGGTTCTAAAAAATTACTAAAAATCACTTTTCAATCAATTAAATTTTTTTAATTTTCATCATTTTGACGTGATTTAATCTTTCCAACATGAGAAGCTGTGTATATAAGCGAGATTTTATATTTCATATGTATATAAATACAAAACGCACAAAACAAAATGGGCTATTTTGTACAACTTCTATAGAAAGATAAGTGTTATCTCGATTAAAATAAAAACTTAAATCTATCATTCGCATTTTGCAGATTCGTGTATCGTTTACCAACTCGATTCGAGATTTCTCTCTGATCGAATCCAAGAGCACTAACGCACCAGACATTGTAGAAGGAATTCATCTAAACACCATTAACCGAGAAATAGTTTATAGCGAATTTCCCAATCGTGGTAACAACGACGTCTACTATTGGCAATTGCCCAGCATTTTCTTAGGAGATCAAATAACAGCTTACGGTGGTAATCTCAAGTACACTGTCAGATACGTGCCCTCTCCAGGCGGTCAAAGTTCAAGGAACAACGCCGCGGACGTCGAACTCATTAGCGTGAGTGCACATTCGTGAGCCTTAATCAGTATACTTGAAGATATAACAGGGTTATTTAAAATGTATACAGGCTAACGACATCAACTTGCTTTACTACTCCCGCGAGTCTCCCGAGCCTAACTCTCAGCAATCATTCACTGTACCATTGCTCGAGCAATATTGGCAACGTAATGATGGAACTCAAGCGGACAGGGAGCACCTTCTAATGGCTTTGGCGGATGTACGAGCCATCAGAATCAAATCGCAATTAAATGATAACTAATAATAAACAAAAAACGACTATTTAAGGCTTTTTAAAGAATTATCTGAAAGGAACATTTCGAAGAATTGTATAAAAATGTTTGTAAAATAGAATAATAAATAATATAAATTTCCGATATTTTAAAACAAAAATGACGGATTTATTTGATATTCAATTAAATAAAATTAAAAACAAGAATGCTTTAAAAAATTTTTTAATTACCAAGATTAATCAAGAGCATTATGTATGCTTCAGGCTCTCCTTCGTGTCTTTGGACACCGCCGAAAAATATAACACAGGTAAAGCTCGCGCAGTCGAGGTTGAAGAGTGTTCTTGTCCCGCCGGCTACAGAGGACTTTCATGCGAGGATTGTGACGTTGGTTACACCCGGGCCATTGAAGGTCTCTACTTAGGCATCTGCGAACCGTGCAACTGTAATAATCACTCGAATCAATGCGATCCCGAAACTGGCACTTGTGAGGTAATAAAAGTAATTTTAATTGAGCGACAATGTTACGTTTTAATTAATATAATAAGATTCTTTTGTTTTTTTTAATTTAAATTTAATGAAAAAGTTTAATAGTTTAGACTTAAAATAGCTATATTGGTAACTGCTTAATTTAAATACAATATTTTTCCAAAATACAATTTTATATATTTGGTATAAAGATATAAAATATAAAAATATAAAAACTTAACTGAAGTTAATTAGAATTTTATAAAAATATGGCTATGTAAATATGTAGATAGAGAATCAGAAGCAAGCATTTGATACAAAATTGATACCTTACGTCGACAGAATTGCGCTCATCACACTACGGGTGAGTACTGCGAACTGTGTGAACCGGGATACGAAGGAGACGCTACTCGGGGCACCCCGAACGATTGCACGTATAGAAATCAAAGACCCGAACCATGCAGATGCAACGAGGCTGGTTCACGCAGCACTTCTTGCCTCGACGGTCGATGCGAGTGTAAGAGGAACGTTGAGGGTCCAGAATGTAATCGATGTCGCCCATCGACATACGGATTACGCGCCGAGAACATTGATGGATGCATCGAGTGTTACTGCAGCGGGGTAACTGATCAATGTCATGAGAGTACATTATACGTACAACAAATACCGATGTGGGTATATGACTCCCATCACGGCTTCACTCTTACGGACTCGTAAGTATGCTTTATTTTTTCAAATATTTTTTTAAGTTAATATAAGCATGAATAAATTTCATTAATTTTTTCCTGTTTTATTTTGATAAATAAAATTTGTATATATAATAGCAAATAAAATTAGAATTTTGAATGAATTGATTTAATGAATCCTTATTTAGGACTAGACGCGACATAATCGACGACGGCTTCGAGCTAAATGTGGCAATGAATGAAATCGGCTATCGCTATCCGGACAGCAGAAGCCGCAGATTGTTCTGGTCGCTTCCGAGCGTTTTCACCGGTAATAAAGTGAAGAGTTACGGCGGGAACTTGACTTTGACGCAGCATATCACCGCGTATCCTGGCGCTCAAAGTTACAAGGATCAAGACATTCTGCTGATTGGTAACGGCATCACATTATTCTGGACGAATCCGGTGGAGCTCCAGCCTGAAATTCCGCTGGTACGTAGAATAGAATTCATCCTATATTTTATAATATATTTATTTGTAGGAAATCGAATAACCCGATGCCTGAACCCAATTTACCTTAGTAAAATATTTTTTTTTAGTTAGTTGTTTTAACAAAATTTCTTTACCCATTTTTTAATTAAATGTCTACATCATCCATCTTTAAATAATTTAATTTATAATATTATATAAAACACCAAACTCTATATAATACTATAAATTAAATTGAAATCCAAATGTTTCATAATTATAAAGACGTACATCTTTCAGACCTACACCGTTCCGTTGAAAGAGCATGATTGGAGAAGACTGACTACTGAAGGACCGCGCAGCGCTTCTAGGACGGATCTCATGATAGTGCTTTCCAATCTAGAAGCTATCTTGGTCCGCGCATCCCACAGCGAGCGAATGACTGCAACATACATTAGCGACATCAGCATGGACACAGCTGTAGAAAATCTGATTGGAAATCGACGTGCGACTCAGGTTGAAGCTTGTCGTTGTCCGACCGGTTACACGGGCACCTCCTGCGAAACCTGCGCTCGCGGTTATTATAGAGACACCAGCGATCGGACTATCAGTTACCTGGGCGCGTGTAATCCCTGTCCATGCAACAAGAATGAAGAGAGCTGCGAAATCAGCAGATCCGGCCATATCAAATGCCACTGCCTGCCAGGATACACCGGGCAGTATTGTCAAGACAGTGGTGCCGGTAAGTAATAGCGCTTCTTAACATTATAGAAATTAGAAATAATATTACATTAACACAATTAATGTTTCCAATTACTTTTGTTCGAAAAAAGACAACTTTGAAAAAGAATTGAGTGATAAATTAGACCAATTTATAACAAAGAAATATATCATTCTACGGTTACATTATTTTCTAAGAAAATAATCTAGGTCAAATTATCTGATTCGTTATATTTAAATATGTTTTTGTAAGCGTGAGAGCAAAACTTTTTCGTCAGGATTTTACATTTATGTATTATAGTAAATAAAATCTTTTAAACTCACCCTTCCCCCTTAAGAATAGTAATGACAATACGTTGATCAGGTGAGCTCATGGTAAGCCTAATGCCGATGAACGGCGAAGTCGAGCCGTATTCCACGATCCAATTTACGTGCAACTATGACTATCCAGACATGTTTTACATCTATTTTAAATTGTCATCGTTCGACGGATTTCCCATAACTGCGCGGAGTGGCGAAATTGAGCCGATAAAGAAGACAGAGAAAGGAGCTGTCCGTACTTGGTTCGTCCACATGGGGGACGTCCCCTGCAACGTGGAGTGTCACATCGTGAATGACCGCGGCAAAGAACTGGTCAAAATTGTGACGTCGATTACGCCAGGTTTGACGGACTACATAGCGAGAGCTTTCGCATCTTGTCCGTCCATCGGTGATTCATGGCAAGGGCTCGGATCATCATTTCGCAACCATACCTGCGTTGTCGCCAGGTCATCGTAGATCATTATTGTAGATTGTCACCGAGTCTGGTGAAGGCTTCCTTGGATTTGTAGTCTTTATCACAGTTCCGTAGTTTTTCGCAGGATTAGCATTTGTGGAAAAGCTTGACTGTTTTCCTGGTATGTGGTATATTCAGTATCACGGATGTCCTGTCGATGTACAGTAAAATATGTGTACCATAGCAATTAATACAAGTGTATCATTTTTCGAAATAACCGTCATTGTAATGATGTCTTGTCAAACAGTAAATGATGATTGCATCCTTGTGTTACTAGACGAATGTCGCTTATTCATTGCAGTATATCCACAGAATTGCAAAATTCAATAATTGTCCATATCTCTCTGTTGTTATTCGTCATATCGTTTTATTGTTGCGCCGTCTACTGCAATTTCACGATCATGAGAGAAACTAAGAGAAAGTCGCATTTGTCGATTTTTCAAGTCAATTTTTTATTTCCCTTATAGTTGGAGAACCGCAAACAAGTACGCAGAGCCCAGTATCTCCACCGAAAATCATAGTTTACATACAGGAAAATGAATTCCAGATCGTCCATACAGGAAAAACCGTCCGATATCACTGCACAGCCAGATCCAGAGAACATGTAAGTTCTTCACTGACTCGACTTATAAAATGCTCGTATAATTGTAATTCTTTTTTATGATTGAAAATAGGAATCGGTGAACATTAGATGGGAGAAAGAAGGTGGTCAATTACCGCCTGATAGGAGCGTGGACGATTCGAATGGACTTTTGGTCATTAGAGATGTGAAGGTGTCTGATAGCGGCATATACGTCTGTCAAGTGAGCGACGGAACAAACATTGGATATAAAAAAGTCACACTAACTGTTGGAGGTATAGCGCAAGCATGATTAATTTTAATTCTATTACGCATCAAACTTAATATAATCTCGCAAATTATTTTACTATAAGTTTTAAGAAACAAATTACAGAATAAATTAATAAATCGATGTTATTTAATTATTATACGTTGTATTATCGGATGCAGCGTTTCCAAAACACTTGCTGGAAATACCAGGTACAAATCATAACCGTGTCAAATTATCCGCGAATAGAACGTAATTTTATACCTTTTTTAAGGAGCCAATCCGGTAGAGCCTAGAGTCACTATAAGTCCATCGTCTCAGCAAGTGAGGGAAGGTGAACCTGTTGAGTTCCGTTGCGAAGCCACTGGTAATCCGCCACCCCAACTGGATTGGATAAGAGTTCACGGAAGCATGAGTCCGGAGGCGACGTTCTACAACGGCGTATGGAGTCTTCCAGCCGCGTCGAAGAACGACGCAGCCGAGTACAAGTGCGTCGCTAGAAACAACGTTGGCATAGATGAAAAGACTACTCTCTTATACGTTCAAGGTACGGTCAAAGTATTCAGAAATCTCGGACATCACGAAATTCAAATTTCAAACTATTGTGGGTCATATGAGAATTGTTTTTAATCCTCCGTCTGGATCTTTTTTGTTCAGTCCAAGTTGTTCACTGTTCTAGGTTTTCAAAAAAATGTGAAAAAATTTAAAGTTACTTTTTAACATCTTTATTACACATTTTACTAAATAGGTTTCTCTTATTTTAGAAGAAGAGTACCGGACTCAGTGTCCTTTATTTTGAAAAAATTTGAGAGTCGAATTCGATTGTGTTAAAAAAGATTGCACACACACACACACACACACACAGATGGAGGATTAACATTGATTTAATAATATTAATCTGAAACTTACAGTTACAAAGCATTTTGTGCTTTGTTAATGAAGACTTCATTCTACATTGTAGATAATCCTAATAAACCACCACCTCAAGGCCTACCGCCAACTATAACTCCGTCCGAATGGTCCGGAACCAGCGAAGACGTCGTTAGGTTGATCTGCACACCGTCTCAACATGCAAATGTCACCTGGTCGAGGTCCGGCGGATTGCCATTGCCTTATACCGCCAGTCAGCGTGACGGTATTTTGACGATCACCAATCCCACCCCCAGCGATTCCGGCATATACGTGTGCACCGCGACGAGTGTTCGCGGAACAGAGACGAGCACCACTGCCAGGATTACGATAACATCTCGGAGAGAACCACCGTCAGTCAAGGTCAGACCGGAACGGCAGGAGGTGAAGCAGGGCACTGTGGCTGAAGTACGATGCATCACCAGCGGAGAGCCAGGTCTACAGGTGAAATGGAGCAAGTACACGGAAACGATGAGCTCCCGTGTCCAACAAGTAGGGGACACACTTAGGATCATTAACGTCCAGGTCTCCGATCGAGGAGTGTACCTCTGCCGAGTTACTAGCCCCACAGGCAGTTACGAGGCCAGTGCCATCATCGAAGTTGAACGTAAGCTCATAGTACCTAAAAAAAAAAAACAAAATTCGCCTCTGAATCTATGCTACTATATATGTAATTTATGTTTGAATGACTAAGCAAAAAGCGTTTAAAAATATTTGGATCAAATAAATTTTTATTCTCAGAATTATATGAAAAGTTATGTGATATAAATCAGAAAAGGATACATATTTTTAAAAAGTGCAATTGACATTAAATTACTAATTTTTTATGAATCGATATAAAAAATTCATTTTTGTCCCAATACTTTATTAATTCTGCAAGTTCAAATTATCTTTTTATTACAGCTCGTGAAGCTCCAGTTTTAGAGCTGTATCCACAAGATATACAAACTGTCATCCTCGGCGGTTCCGCGGATCTTCAGTGTCGTGCGAAGGCCGGTTTCCCGGTGCCCGAGTTGCGATGGTCTCGCCAAGACAATCGACCATTCGCCTCCAACATTGAGCAGCTTCCTGGTGGACTTCTTAGACTGTCGAACATCACAGAGAACGACGGCGGTGCCTACATCTGTTCCGCGTCAAATGAAGTCGGCTCGACGTCAGTCATCGCGCATATCGAGGTGCAGTCTATGCCTGTGATCACCATCACACCGCAGCACGGTATCTTGCAGGTGAAACGCGGAAGTAGAGTCCGTTTGATGTGCAGCGCAAACGGTCATCCGCAACCAAATGTGGCTTGGAGCAAATATGTGAACGGAATAACGATACAGTAAGTTGACTTCATGATCCTATAGCCTCATGAGCTAATAACAATTGTAGGAATTAATTTTTAATTACCTTAACTTTAATTTTAAAAGCGTGAATTTTTACATTATTAAAATACAATTTTGTAGTGTCTAGGCAGCAAGAGAAAATTTTATTACATTATATATAAATTATATTATGTGATATTAAGCATTTAAAAGTTAAGCCTAAATTACGGTTTGACTAATTCTAACAATGCTAGTTATTATTAGCACATAATAATTTTGTGACATGATTTACAGGGACACATATAGCAGAACAGCGGCTACTCCTTTAAGTGCCGTTTACGAAATATTCTCTGTTTCACCCGACGATGAAGGATCTTACACTTGCACAGCTACGAACGCCGTAGGAATAGCCGAAGAACGTGTCCAGATCCGTATCGAGGATGATGACGATTATGTCCCTTGCACTGGCGACAGAGGTGATATTCCATGCGACGATGATGGACAGCGATCACAACCTGATTCTGTAAGTATTATAATTTTATCAGCGTATCTTCAACACACAATGACATGTTGTTAACAAAAAAATGATTTACAGAGGGACCCGAATCAAACAGAGGGAGGAGTATTGATTCCCAAAGACTACTTGAGAATCCCAGACGGTGGCAAAGTGGAGATGCGTTGTCAGGTCTTCGGACCAGATGGGGACCACATCTATCTGGACTGGAAGAGAAGCGATCATCGTTCCCTCCCAGAAGGTAGCACAGTGCACAATGGAGTGTTAAGTATCCCGACTGTTGATAGAAACGCGGCTGGAGAATACATCTGTTTGGGCTTGGATCCTGCCGGCACAGTGCTCTTCCGGGCGAAATCTCATCTTGAAATTATATGTGAGTATGAGATGAGTATAAGATGCAGATTAATATACAAACTGCAAAATTCATATACAAACTGTAAGATTCACATCATATGGAATAAATAAATTTGAAATCGATTTTTCTTTAACAGTTTCTTTAACAGAAACTCCATAAAGACTAATTAATTTTTTCCTTCGATTTTAGCTCCACCAAGAATTGAATTAAATCCAACGCGCCAGACAGTAGGACCTGGAGAAAATCCATCTATAATTTGCACCGCTACGGGAGACGAACCCCTGCACATCGAGTGGAAAGCTATAGGACGCCCGTTACCATATTCTGTATCGGACAGCGGTGGCATCCTGCAATTCCATGGCATTACATATTCCGACGCTGGCAAATACGTGTGTAAAGCGACGAACGCAGCAGGAACGGCGGAAGCGGTAGCAGAAGTTTTAGTTAATGGTTAGTTAATAATTAATTAGATCTTTTAAATTTGCAATGCATAAAATTTTTCTTTCATTTTCTCTTAAATAATTACACACATTTATATAAAAAAATTATTTAATATTTAAAAAGATCTAAGAAAAAATATATAACGCAGTTATATACATCTTTAAAAAAAATGTGTCCTTTTTTTATATAAAACTCAGTAAACAATCAATAATAACATAACTTTTAGTTATAATTTTTCACTTACTAATATAACTGTAACATAATGTATATTATATACATATTACAGTTATATTGTTGAATAAAAAATAATAACAATTATGTTATTGATAATTGGTGATTACTGGGAACATTCGTACATAAAAACATCAATTGGCATAAAAACATAATATGATTATTTAATATTTGCTAAAACAGAATAATATGTTTAAATATCCGCCAAGCCTAAAATGTGTTTATTAAATATTTGAGGATTGCTCAGTGCAGCAAACTATAAATTGATATTTACGATTTGCAGAACATCCTTATGACAATGCAAGGATCCGCGCTGAACAAAGAGACGTAGTAACTCATGCCGGTAATTCTGTACGCTTACGTTGCGAGATGCGCGAACGTGCGACGATCCATTGGAGCCGAGAGGGGCTATCGTTGCCAGCCAACGCGCGAATCGGAGAAGATTACTTGGAGCTGACGCAAGTGAAACCGGAAGACAGCGGAAGATACATCTGTCAGATCCAGACGAGCCGCGGTGTATCCAGCGATTATATTAATTTCAACGTTTCTCGTAAGTTCAGCTATGTTTTCACTGAGTCTCAGCATCATTTCATAGATTTTTGCTTTCATTCGAATGCATCTACTGAAGATCGCAGTATTCGCAGTACACATGCTAAATAATGTTTCGCCTATTGAGAAATCCTAATTTTTGCCTTTAATTCTTTCGGGATACTATAATGTTATTCTGACTTTTAATATCCCGAAAGAATTAAATCCCAAAATGCTTTTTTACAAAATACTTTGTTTGCTATTTCTCAGCGATTTTTCTTCAACAGAATATTTTGAATTTTTAGTTCATCTGAAGATTTCAATTTCTCGTTCAGGACGCGACGGACGTAGAATACCAATTTCACGTTTGCCTTAATAAAAAAAGTATCAGCACGGAATTATTTGTAAAAAATTTAAATGATAAAAAGTATATAATACATATTTAAACAATAGCAATTTAAAAATATTAAGTCTATTATTTTATAAATTTATACTAATCCAACGCATCACTCATATCACTAACAAGCGCGCAGCAGATTACTCTCAGACAATACAAACAGCAAAAGACATCGTGCGAAAGCATTAAAGGGAATTAAAGGAAACACATCAACAAACAGAATCTAAAATTCAAGATTTTCTGTAATCAACTATTGCGTAGAATAAATTTCTAAAAAATATAAGGACATATCATATAATATATAAATTACAAATTTGAAAAGTATTAAATTTTTTATAAATTTGGACTGGAACAATCCCTCCGCTGCGGCATGTTCGGACAGGTGGTAGGGTTCCAGAGGTAAGGATGGTCTAAAATAAAAAAAATGAGCTTAGACTATATTTAATTGATTTGGGGAGTTTAGAATAGAAATGAATTTATGACACTTATTAATTATACCTTCACGAAAATACAAAACGAATATTGAAAACTGACACTACACAAATATTACGTTGTACATTATCATATCTATAATTTGAAAAAAATGGCATCATCGTCTGCAAACGTGTTCTTCGGAACGCAAAACATAATTCAGTTAATTATCGTTGAGATATTGCAACAAGCAGGCTAGAAAATAATGGTATACCAGTTTACCCCGTTATTCCGCGTTGTCTCAATCTCCCCTAATTCTGGGCAAATTTGTAGATTGCCCTGGTGAAAAAGTTTTGCTGAAATTATTCCACGTTTTGGAACATTTCAGCGAAATTGCTGAAAATTTGCTGAAACTTCACTGAAAGTGAATTTTTCAGCTAATGTACTGAAAAATCACTGAAATCCAACAGAAATTTCTCTGAAATTCTTGTTGAAATTTTATCGAAAATGAATTTTTCAGCTAAAAATCGCTGAAATTACACTGAAATTTTTTTGAAATGCTAAAATTTTGTTGAAATGTTCCTAAATGTGGAATAATTTCAGCAACATTTTTTTACCAGGGTGTGTATCCTTAAAATAGAAATTAATCTAATAGTTGACTTTAAAAAAATCTCGAATTGTAGACCCTGTCAGAGTAATGTGACTCCTTAAAAAGAACACCCTAAACGTTTAGATGTCTCTTGAATTTTTGTATGGTTTGATCTATAATGAGATCATATATATATTACAAACGTGGTTCCATGAACGTTTCCACAAGTTTAGGTTTTTTACAAGGCTCGCGTTATGATTTAGTAGTTAATTTGCTTGCGGATTGCATGCCAGTGTACCGATCGCAGTGCAGGCACTGGGAGTATCAATGCAGAAGCCTACAATGCATTCCAATGGAATACTTTTGCGACGGCTATGTTCAGTGCAACGACGGTACTGACGAACGCTTCTGCCGCAACGCGCGCTATCGCCAATATCTTCAGAGACGACGCGGTTTGTTTTGAGATATATGTGTGTCGTGTGATGTCCCATAGTTCTCCTACTCGTAGTGAACTGTCCTTTCTTGCTTATTGTACGAACCTATGAGGAAAGGATACGGATTAAATCAAATTAAATCAAATTAAGATGAACTCTTTAACCAGGCTCGGTAATATGTACAAACAAGTGAAAAGATTCTAAAATGTTATGAGTTTCCCGCCAGTTATCTTTTTACAATATGTAGAAAAATCTAGTGCGGAACAAGTGCACCCGTATCCCATCCTTGTCAGCAGCAAATACGATATGTGTAAATCAACATATATACTTCAAATTTTAATTCGACGCTATTTTTTGTTAAAACTTTTATTTCGAGTAAATCTGTAATATTCTTTTGCAATCTTTAAATGCTAATATTAATTATTCCTTCAATAAGAAATAATTTTTTTTATTTACATAATTTTTCCTGACGAATTTCAAACATGATATAAGGAGTTTAGGTACGGATACATCAAATAAAACGCTGCGAACGCATCTCGAAGTCCATTTTAAAAATCGATAAGACTATAGTATCTTCTTCATGTCATGATGTGCAAAACAGGATATACATTTCCTAATTCTATCAATCTTAACACATATAGTCAACATGTATAATTCGATTCTAGCTGCTGCAGTGCCTTCAATAAGCATCGAAGTATCTCAAGATCCAATAAACATCGGTGACACTGTTGATATACATTGCACATACACTGGAACACGCAATCCACGTTATCGCTGGACGAGACCGAATCATGTGAGCCTACCAACAAACGCACAGGAGTACGGCAACGTCTTGAGGCTAACTAATGTAGTCGTTAGCGATAGCGGACCCTATAGGTGCACAGTAGACACACCCGAAGGCATACTCGCGAAGGACTTCAATCTTATCGTCCACGGTAATTAATAGACAAATAAATAATGATAAATATATATGTGGCAAATATATAAATAATGAAGTATTTACGTGAAAGATTACACGGATATTTTTCTACGTATATCTCTTTTAATGCACAAATATCTACTTTTTGCCAATGCTCACTCAAACTGCATACGTTTTATGTAAGTATAAAGTCGATGAATAATTAATTTTATCATGAAAATTATTATGGACGAAGGATTTTATGATTTTCCAGGCGGAATCCTCGATGAACCAGCGATTGAAACCAAATTGGCGCCGTATGGATCAAGTCTGGAAATGGATTGCCGGTTAGATCTCGATCCGCCAATACAATTCCAGTGGAACAAACTCGGTGGACTTCTGCCACGTGACAGTCAGACTTATGAGGTACATAAAATACATACATATCATATACCTATTTCTATCTCTAATCAAGAATTTAATGATAATTTCGTTATAAAAATTTAATACTGGAAAGTAGTGATTGCTTATTTATTTTGAGTATTAAAAATATTATTGTCCGATTCTTTTAATACTCGAAATAATTTCCAGTATTAAATTTAATTTTTGTAAATGTTATACATATTATTTTAGTAAAATGTTTTATACTATTCAATAATTCGATATATATTTTTCACTTTGCAGAACAAATTAAAGTTAACTAATGTAAAGGCTGAAGATGCTGGAACGTACATTTGCTCCGGAAATAATGAAGAATCGCGAGTCGAAGTGCCTACGGTGCTAGTTGTAACAGGAGTTGTGCCCAATTTTAGTCAGGCACCCGAAAGCTACATCGCTTTCCCTCCTCTACCTGACTCCTACCTCAAGTTCAACATCGAAATCTCTTTCAAACCGGAAAGTTACGATGGCATTCTGTTATACAACGACGAATCTGGTCACGGTGACGGCGACTTTATCGTTTTATCTCTAAACAACGGATACCCACAATTCAAGTAAATAAAAAATCTTAATAAATATGTACGAAACGCATCACGAGTAGCGTCTTTTATTTTACTTATAGAGTTCCGACAAGCATGGAGCTAATTGACTTTTATCTGAAACTTTATCTAAATAAAATTTTTACTTAATTATATAAATTTAATTATATGATTAAAAATAATTTTAAATTATTTTTAATTTAAAACTAATTGACATTCAATTCAGCGTGGAAATTGTTAATAAAAAGTGGATAATTTCCTAAACGCGCATTATTAACACAACGAATTTGTTAATAGATTCAATCTCGGCTCTGGACCAGCTGTTATTCGCGCGGATAAGCCTGTCACTTTGAGCGAGTGGCACACCATCAAGATCCAACGCAATCGAAAGGAAGGAACGATGCTGGTGGACGGCGAAGGCCCTTACAAGATGGTCGCTTTAGGCAGACGCCAAGGTCTCGATCTTAAAGAACCTCTTTACATCGGCGGAGTGCCCAGCTACAGTAGAATCAACGTGCAAGCCGAAGCGAACACTGGTTTCGTCGGATGCATCAGCCGACTAATCCTCGGGGAGAAACAGGTCGATCTGATTGGCGATCAGACTGACAGCGTGGGCATTACGACTTGCGAAACCTGCGCAGAGAATCCCTGCAACAATGGTGGTGTATGTCAGGAAGCGGCCACGAAAAACGGCTACACATGTCTGTGCCGAGCCGGTTTCAGCGGCAAACATTGCGACAACATCGGACAATCCTGTTATTCAGGTATGATAATTTATCACATTTTAATTTATACTTTTTGTATTGCTATGACTACAATGATGTCTATCAATGTTAATTATGATCTATTTTGTAATAATTGTAATTATTAATTATTATTAATCTTAAAAATCGCATAATATATATATATTAAATAGTATTTTAAAAAATCTTAATATTTTATTGCTTCGATTAAAAAATTGTAAGCAAATAAGACTAATACTAAACGCGTTGGATGATGATATTAGGTGCTTGCGGAGAAGGTGAATGCATTGATAAAGAAGTCGGCGGCTTCCATTGTTACTGCCCGATCGGGAAGACAGGACCAAGATGCGAGCATTCGGTGAACGTCTACGACCCGGCTTTCCATGATGACAGAGCTTTCATCGCTCACGAGACTCCAAAAGCTCTTAGACGGTAAGTACCTTTGCTCGATCGAACGCACGTGCACGAATTATTTCTTAATTGCACTTAGTCGATGTTAGAAGCCGCACATAATGGAACATATTGTCACGGTGATTGCGTCTCATATTCATTTTATTTTGAGTTTTTTAAGTAATTATTTGTATATAGTTCACCTGCGAAAAGTGAATGAAATAAAAGAAATTATAATAAAACACATTTTGGAAAATTATTCTTTAAAATATTACAAGATATGAGAAGTTCCGAATATAATCACTGATTAATAACAATTATACAGTTAGAAATAAATTTTATTTAATAAATTTTGTATTTTTCTGAAATCTGAAACACGAAAAAAATCTTTATCTAGATATAAGAATATTATAAATATAAACATATATTATAAAAATGTATCTTTATGCCTTTGACGAACTAACAGATTTAATTATAATTGGAATATAGGTACTAATCTCATTGTCAGTGCATATGAACATCCTCAAACATCCTAATTACTAAAATTCTTTTCAGGGAA